AGCATTTCAGGTGCAGCCCCTCAATGCCTGTGTGCACCAGGAGGAGAGCATTTCAGGTGCCGCTCTTCAATGCCGGTGTGCACCAGGATCACGTGGGAGAGTGGAGCAAAGCTGAATCTCCGGGACTCCCCTAGAACTGGCACGCGATGGACTCCCCTCCATGGGTCAGGGCATCCCTGAAGCAGGGCTCTGCCTTCTTCTGTGGCAGCATTCTTGCTCCTACACGGAGCAGGTCTGCGGCTGTCCCAGGCAGGCTCTGTATTGTCCCGTCATGAGTGGTTTCTGTTGGAGCTTGAGGTCACAGGAGGCTGTTCATGGACAAGATGAAACCCCACCTTCTACAGAGGTGGAAAAATAAGACCAGCGTGGAATCGAGCTTCTCCTTGAGAATGAACAAAGGATTTTCAGAAGCGCCAGTACCTTTTTATTCTTAAAGTCAAAGCTGTGCCCTCGCCTGGGATCAGGCCTTCATCATGTCTGTAATTAATCCCGAGTGGCACCTCGCCTTTCCAAGGACAGAGTTGGCATTGTTCTCGCACAGATCACTCAGGAACAAATGACCCACGTCATATGATTTGCTTTCGAGGAATGTTTTTGTGCAATTCGGGTCACTGACTTTCACAGAACAGTCCTGCAGACTTTCTCTCGTTTTTTTCTCTCAAAGGGCAGACTTCGATGATACCGCGACCTACTCGGCGGTGGCGACCAATGGCCACGGTCAGGTGTCCACCAACGCGGCGGTGGTGGTGAGAAGTGAGTACCAGGCGGGCTCTCGCGGGCACCCTCCCTCTCCTTTTCTCTCTCTTTGCTGCTCTCACTCCGCTGTCTTGCAGGGTTCCGGGGGGACGAGGAGCCATTCCATTCGGTGGGACTCCCGATTGGATGTAAGTGGTTTTGGTTCCCCTTTTGTGCGGTGAAGTGTTTAGTGACATAGTGTGCAATTTGAAAAAGAGCTTTCCCAAAGGCCAATTGTATTTACAAAAATTGTATTTCAGAAAACGCTTCCAAGTTTCTCCTGGCCAGTGTTAGTGTGCTGACACTTTGCTCCCATGCAATTCTATGGCTAGGTGGTATTTTTAGACCGGTGAAAACATCACTTGGAGAGACTTTACATTTTTGAATTGGAAAAAAAGAGACGTCCAGAATTTTGACCTGAATGCATCATGTGGCTGTGTTTCATGTTTAAGGATACTTTTTTTTTTTTTTTTTGAAAGGGAGTTTTGTTTTTGTTTCCCAGGCTGGAGTGCAATGGCACGATCCCGGCTTACTGCAAACTCTGCCTCCCAGGTTCAGGCGATTTGCGTGCCTCAGCCTCCTGAATAGCTGGGATTATAGGCATGCACCACCACGCCTGGCTAATTTTTGTATTTTTAATAGAGATAGGGATTTCTCCATGTTGGTCAGGCTTCTCTCCAACTCCCGACCTCAGGTGATCTACACACCTCGGCCTCCCAAAGTGCTGGGATTACAGGCATGAGCCACCGTGCTGTGCCAGGATACTTTTTTTTCTCCAAAAGTCTCTTGGTCCTTGTAACGAATGACTTCAGGTCAAAATGAGGGCAGTGCAGCAGGCTTTGGGCCAGAAACCTCCCCAGGCCTGGGAACGCTGAAAGGAGGCCAAGCCCTCTCTGGCCCCGGGCTGGCTTCATCCTAGCAGCCCCATGTGCTGGGTGACCGATGTCAGGTGAGTAGAGGAGGTCCCCGTGAGGGCATCTTGAGGACTGGGGCATGATGGATGCACTTTCATTGCAGCTCGTTTATGACTTGGGAGTGAGATTTAGATTGGCCTGAACTTCCCAGAGAGGAACTGTATATTCTGATGGAAGCACTGATTTTACTGTAATGTGAGGCTTAGATGCTCCAGGCCACATGCTGGGAGTGGAGAGTTGACCAAAGTGAGGATGGAGGGAGGAGCCTTCTGGCAGCTGCTGGCCTCTCTGGGCATGGCCTCTGCCTGCTATTTCTGTGTGAATTTTATTGCTGTGCTGTGTTCAACACTCAGTGAGCTTCCAAGACCACCAAAAGGCAGGTAGGGACCAGGACAAGGTGAGCCTGGGGAGGCCGGGAGATCTGGGCGTCCCTGTGTAGACCCAGGCCTTGGGACAGCATGGAGTCCATGTGGAGAGTTGCACCAGGCACTGATGAGCTGGGCAGGTCCTGGCGGTCACCTGGTCCCATCCCCGGGCCTCTTCTGTCTGTTAAAACGTTATCCTCCTAAAGAAGAGCCGTGGTGCAGTTACAGCATAGATCACCATGTAAGAATACTCATACGTTCACCACCCGAGTTTAACAGAGGGAAATATCTTGCTATTTTGCTTCAGTTGTTTTTCATTGCAGTCAAATTTACATAACACAAAATTAACCATTTTACGGTGTACATTTCAGGGCAGCTTTGATTATTTTCCAAGAACGGAAACGACCCCAGAGATGGTGAAAGCACTTTGTGCCGCTCCACTCTAAGCACGATGTGCTGCTCCTGCCCATCTCCCACACCCTTAGGAGGAAACCACGCTCCTGATGTTTGCAGTGGCTTTTTAATTTTATGTTTGTTTTTGAGGCAGGGTCTCACTCTGTAGCCCAGGCTGGAGTGCAGTGGTGAGATCTTGACTCACTGCAGCCTCCATCTCCCTGGCTCAAGGAATTTTTTCGCCTCAACCTCCCAAGTTGCTGGGACTACAGGTGTGTGTCACCAAACCTGGCTCATTTTTCTGTACTTGGTAGAGATGAGATTTTACCATACTGTCCAGGTTGGTCTTGAACTCCTGGGATCAAGTGAACCTCCCGCCTTGGCCTCCCAAAATGCTGGGATTACAGGCATGAGCCACCGTACCAGCCTGCAGCTGTTGTTTAAACTCCCCTACATGCATGAATCTGTAAATCATACAGTTCTTTTGGTTTTAAAAATTCAATATAGATTTTTTTTCCCTGACACGTATGTACTTCTCCCCCTGCCACACATATTTTTGAAATGTAACTAGGCTGACACCTCTGGACCCAGTTAGTCCATTTGGGTGCACTCTAAATGAAACTCTACAGATGAAAATACCACCGTTTGTTTTGAAGATGAGGCAGCCATAGCCTCAAAGTCCATGTGGCTTGCCAGAAACCACAGCTTGAAGCTGAGGTAGGATTTATTTCAACCTTCACTTTTCACATGCAGTCAGGTTCTCAGCCCTGCCTCTAACGACACCACAAAATTGACTTTTTGACATTTAATTCTTCAGCAGTGGCTTGTCTCAGCTTCGGCTGCTGGAACAGCACGCCATGGCAGGGGCAGTTTATAGACAGCAGGCATTGACCCTCTCGGTTCTGGAGGCAGAATCTGAGACTCAGCAGGCATGGGCTGTGGTGAGGAGCCTCCTTCTGGGTTGCAGATGACGTCTGCTCACGGCTTCCTCACATGGAAGAGAGGAAGGTCTGGCCTCTTCCTCCTTTTCCAAGGGCGCTCATCACCCCGCCCTGGGGTCCCCACTCTCATGACCTCACGTCACCCTCATCACCTCCCAAAGGCCCCACCTCCTCATACTGTCCCACTGAGGGTCAGGGATTCAACACTGGAATTCTGGGAGGACACAGACATTCCATCTGGAGGATGGACACGGCCATGGGTGTTCCATGCCGTGTGATGGTGACAAAGACGTGTTTCCGTGGTGGTGGCCTGAGTGTGCCTGCTGTCAAACATGCTCCTGCCCTTCGGCCCTGAGAGTCTCCATTGTTTCTGCGCAGTGCCCCTGTCATCAGTGATTCCGTACACGCACTTCGACGTCCAGTTTTTGGAGAAGTTTGGGGTCACCTTCAGGAGAGAAGGCGAGACGGTCACTCTCAAGTGCACCATGCTGGTGACGCCTGACCTGAAGCGGGTGCAGCCCCGCGCTGAGTGGTACCGCGATGGTGAGTAGGACAGGGCCCAGACCCGGATGCACAGCAGGAGGTTTTGGGTAGAAATGTCCTCTAAACGTGGGTGTCAGTGTGGCCTTCTTCTCTGCCGCCGGGTCAGCTCCAGACAAAGTGAGGGACCACGGAGAACCTGGCTGCCCATCATTGACCTTGAACCTCGTCCAGGAGAATCCTGGAGAGGGAGATCCTGAATCTAGAGCAGTCACTTAGGGACTGACCGCTTGTACAATGACAGAAAGAATGACCTGGTGTGATGTGGATTGCATTTGATGCACATTACTGCGTGGAAGGGGCCGGCCGGAGCTCGTGTGCTGTCTCCGTTGCTGCGTGGAAGGGGCCGGCCGGAGCTCGCATGCCATCTCTGTTGCTGCGTGGAAGGGGCCGGCCGGAGCTTGTGTGCCGTCTCCACACAGAAACGCTACCTCAGTACTACTCTTCTTCCTGCCAGTCATTTTGTTTTAGCATTTGATGATGCGGAGGGTCTATGCTGGGATCTTTGGAGATGTGAGGCCCTTTAGTTGCACACCCCTGTGATCCCTTCATGGGCAGGAAGAAGCCGGGTGGGGCAGCGGCCGTCCAGCAGAGAAGCAGCGAGCCCCCAGGTGAACCCAGCTCACCTGAGGACAAAGTTGGCGGCCGCTCACAGCACGTCCCACCTTTACCTGCTCAGTGGCAGCCCGTGTTCTGGGCTGTGGCTGCTCCATTCACACCTGTGCTTCTGTGTAGTTGGGATTTTACCTGGTCAGGTCCGGCTCTGTGGCTTTCGTGGTGTCTGGCTCCACTGTCCTGTCCCGCTGTGAGCTGGCGCTGGTGCTTTCTTTGCCTGCTGGGGTGATTTCGGATGCAAACCTTCCTGTTACCACTCTTTCAGACGTGCTGGTGAAGGAGTCCAAGTGGACGAAGATGTTCTTTGGAGAAGGCCAGGCCTCCCTGTCCTTCAGCCACCTGCACAAGGACGACGAGGGCCTGTACACCCTGCGCATTGTGTCCCGGGGCGGCGTCAGCGACCACAGCGCCTTCCTGTTTGTCAGAGGTGTGGCAGCAGGGCTGTCAGGGTGCAGATCCCGGGGGTGCCCGGGGAGGGGAGGTGGCCCCGGGGGGAGGGAGGCACTGGGAAAGGAGTCAGGAGGTGGTGAGACCTCTTTGCTCCTTGGAGACTCCTGTGTGGTGCCAGGTCTCCCTCCGTGCCCAGACATGCCAGGTGCTTCCTCCAGACAGCAGACGGAAGAATCGGGACGCAATCCGGGATAGATCAGAATCATCATTGTTTGATCGTTTGTATACTTGCTAGCATTTGAAAAGTGATTCCTAAGAGTGAGTGCACCAGATTCACTCATTCTCAGGGAATTTAGGCCAAGGATAAAGAGGGCCACAGTGTTGGATCCCAGGGAAGAGCTTCCTTAGTTTCCCGCTAGCGACTCATTCCCTCTGGACTTTGGCTTTGGAGGAACAGACATGATGATGACAGGCAGTGCCATGACCTCCACCACCCACTCCAGTGAAACTCGTGCTAAGACATTTGTGGCCGACACAGCCAGCCGTCACTGGGAGCTTTATGTCAGGCAGTGTGCCGGGTCCTGGGTACATTTCGTCCTCACAGCAGACTCACCTTGAAGGCTTCACTAATTTGATTTTAGGAAAAGAAAGACAACATTGTGATATATATATATAGTGTCTGTTGTATATAGCCTATAGGTGTGCACGTGTATGTGTGTATATTACATAAACATCCATGTATATGTAACGTAGGATTCTTAGAACAATAGCAAAAGGTAATAGTGTTCTCAGTTTTCCAAATGAATCCATGGAGCCTCAGAGGCATGAGGAATATCTCTAGGGTGGAGAAGCTGGGATTTAAACTTGGTTGGAGCCTGGAGTGTGAGTTCCTGTTGTAAAGTTGCAGTGTTTTTGGCATCACGTGGCTAAGCAGAAGGGGCCCACCTACGTTTTGTTTTGTTGTGTGTTTTTGAGACTGAGTCTTGCTCTGTCACCCAGGCTGGCGTGCAGTGGCCTGATCTCGGTCATGACCTCCACCTCCTGGGTTCAAGCAATTCTCCTGCGTCAGCCTCCCAGGTGGCTGGGACTCCAGGTGTGTGCCACCACGCCCGGCTAATTTTTGTATTTTTAGTAGAGACAGGATTTCACCTTGTTGGCCAGGCTGGTCTTGAACTCTTGACCATAAGTGATTGACCAGCTTTGGTCTCCCAAAGTGCTGGGATTACAGGTGTGAGCCACCACACCCAGCCTTCCCTGTGCTTTTATCAGTGTCTGTTCCACTCCCCTCCCACTTCTGCCTGGGCCGCACCTCCGAAGCCTCTGGGTTTAGGGGCAGCCTCCTTGCTGAGGCACAGCTGACCTACGAGGAGGGCATGAGTGCCCCTGCGCTGCATGGCTGCTGCTGCGCTTCAGGCTCCCATGCTCCCAGCTCCATGCTGATCATCTTGACCGTCCTTACCTGCTGCTTGGGTTCTCGCCTTCCCACCTGCCTCCAGCTTCAGAGGGGTGCAGGGAGCATCCGTACCTCATCATGATTATTTTTCCCATTGCTTCCGCCAGATCAGAGCTTAAAGGAAGAACTGTATCATTAAGGAATATTTAACTGAAAAGAAAGAGAACACATGTCAACCAAACGCATCTCACCTTCGTCATTTCCCACAAGATAGCATAAGCTTGCAAGTCTGTGAGGCACTTCTACCAAGTCCCACTGCTGTTATTAGATGGGCACTAACTGTCCCTTCCATCCTCTGCGTATGCCTGCTGGTGTGACGCTCCGTCCCATAAAAAGGCAGTGAATACAACATGGCTCAAATCACCTTGCTCACTCAGCACCACCAACAGGAAGAAAATACAGCGAGGGTGGAGAGTTTAACCATTTTCATCGCTTTCCGAGGGATTTAAATATGAGAGAAAACTATTTGGCTCAATGTCAAGAAATCCTTAGCTGTTAATACGCTGAGGATACATGAGCAGGAAACTGGATAGTGCTTACACCGCTAAGAATGTGTCACAGGACAGCCATGGTTACCAAATAAATACATATTTTAGACAAGAAAATAAACATTCAGTGTATTAGCTTTCTAAGTTGCTCTGTTGGTTTTCATGCAGCTGTTATTAAAATTTAGAAACAAAAACTTATTGCCATATGGTCAATAGACTGAGAAATGAATGATACAAACATTTGCTCAAAATTGGCAAAAAGAGTAAGCCACCCAATTGTCTAAGGATTTTGAAATAGAAGAGTGTCTCGGTGATATTTCTCAGGTGTTAGAAATGCTGAATTGTCGTTACTGTTTCGTCCGCTCATGTTATGCAATATAACACGACCAGGAGCAGATGACCTTTAACTTGGGATCTAATGATGGAAAATTTTAGATTTGAGTGTTTTGTCGAGGATTCTAGGTTTTGAAGATTAATTCATAAATACTATTATATTTCTTGTCACCAATCCACCAGAGTAAGAAATATTGTAGCAATTTGAACACGAGGATTAAACGGTGGATGAAATCAAGTGGATAGAATTGGAGCTTGGAGGAGTTGTGAACAGGCTTTGCAGTGACCCCAGCCCTCAAATGACACGCATGTGCCTTTTCTCTCCTTGCCCCAAGATGCTGACCCGCTGGTCACAGGGGCCCCCGGTGCACCCATGGACTTGCAGTGCCACGAGGCCAACCGAGACTACGTCATCGTGACCTGGAAGCCCCCCAACACCACCACCGAGAGCCCCGTCATGGGCTATTTTGTGGACCGGTGAGTGCCTTGCCTTCTCCTGGGAATGAAAATATTCCTGCATTGAATCTTACCACGGATGATATATTGGGAAATCTTTCTCAACGCAAGTTGAGGTTCCCATTCTAGGTACATGGCTAATTGGTTGTGTAAGGTCCTGATTAGGTGACTGGTAAATACACCAAGTAGGCTGAGCCCGGCAGAACCACACTTGGTTTCTTTTAGTTGAAGGTGGAGCCTTGTTTGCCTGTTGCACACCCAGGAACCAACCCCACCAATGTCCGCAGGCTCGCTCTCAGCCCGGTGCTGGGATTCTGCTGAGGTCTGCGCTGCGCCCTGTACCAGAGAGGGCCCTGGCTTGAGCAGAATTGAGGTTTGGAACTGTCCTTCCCTCCTGAGAGACAAAGTGGCTCATTTCTACTGAAGCTCCATTCCTTTTTCTATGGAGGAATAAGGTGTTCTTGTTTCCAAGTAAAAAAATCCGGAGCTTCAGAGTGTGAAATATTGGAGCTTGTGTTTGGGTTGATAACTTACATTTAGGTCATCGTTGGAGCCAGTGGGGCTTTAACTCTTTGACTTCCCATATTGGGGACAGTGCTCAGCGCCTGGGAAGCATACTGAGCAGAGCCAGTGGGCTTATTGGATGTGCAATTTATGCCCTAAATACAAATTCCAGTTATTAGAGTAAGTTGTAGTTAAAGAAAATGAGTTTAGAAAGGAGACAGATAGTGTAAGTGGATGGTTCCTGGTAGGAATGTAAAATTTTGTATGTATATTAAAAAGAAAAATAAGGTGATTATCTCAGGAAAAAAAGAGGAAATTGCTTTTTTTTTTCTTTTTTTACGCTCATTAAATTCTCTTTTCCAATGAAGCTGCTTGTGGGGTGAAATGTTTGCCATCAAAGTAATATTTTGGGAATAGTAGGGACTGCCATTCAGGGCTTACCTTGAGTTAAGCAACAATGACAAGAGGAACAAGAAAAACAAACCCTCAAAGTGATGCTCTTTTCTCCTGGGACATCTGATTAGTTTTCCGGCTAAGTTGACAAAAACCATTTCCTGCGCCATCTCAGTTAACAATCCACGCACCTCCTCTCATTGTGAAAAAAGCAAACGTGAAAATCAAAGCAATAGAACCTTTTGGAAGTGGGGGATGCAGCTCCTCCCCTGCCCTTCCTTCAGGCTTGCAACTTGCCAGCTGTTGCCTGAAGTTGAAGGTTTTCCTGCCAGACATTTGATTTCAACCTTGTCACTCTCTTTGGCTAAAACAGGCCAGGGCAGGTGGATCAGAGAGCTTTCATTAAAAATGCTGGATGCTTAGGGGGGAGTGTTTTTTTTTCCCAGATGAAGACACCACTCTGGGGTTGAAGTGCTGCCTCCAGAAGACTGATTTTCTGAACTGGCTCTTTTCTGGGGATTTAACATGAAGATTTTTTTTTTTTTTTGAGGCAGAGTTTCACTCTTGTCACCCAGACTGAAGTGCGATGGAGCAATCTTGGTTCCCTGCAACCTGCACCTCCTGGGTTCAAGCGATTCTCCTGCCTCAGCCTCTGAGTAGCTGGGATTACAAGCAGTCGCCACCATGTCTGGCTACTTTTTGTATTTTTAGGAGAGACAGGGTTTTGCCATGTTGGCCAGGCTGGCCTTGAACGCCTGACCCCAGGTAATCCGCCCACCTTGCCTTCCCAAGAAGGTTTTGTTTTTACATTTTTCAACCTGTGAAAAATGGAGGTTAATCTTTCCTATATTTTTAGGTTTCTGGTCAGAAGTTAATATTTTGAAAAGACTTCCAAATTCCACGAGAACCATTCTAGAATGTCCTAATGTCATTCCGGGAGACTAAGCCAGCTTTCCCGGGGAACCCATGTCCTTGGCCCCACAGAGAGGAATGGGAGCTGTCTGTAGGCAGAGGGGGCCAAGGCTGTTTCCCTAACCTGGGCCTCAAACAGACCAAGCTGCAGCTTGGGGGTGCCGTGACTATGTCGCATAAGTTGGAGAAAGAACTGTTCAGGAAACGGCTAAAATAACTTTGAGGACATTTTTGTCTAAATGTGTTTGATGACAGGAACTGATCTTTGGCTATAAATTATTAAGATTCATGGGTATATATTATATATATAATAGATATTACATATAATATATGTATTGCATTTTCTAAATAGCTCTGTCTTTTAAAGTTTGTCTATACAAGTCGGTATTTTAGCAGCATGGATTTTACCGGCATGAGATATTTTCCTGTTATAATTGGTGCGTGTATATATGTATATACCTATATAAATTTAGTAGGTTGCCACATTTGCTATTGTTATTTCTTTAATGTTTTAACTTGAAGATGTGAAGTAGGAACGAATAATTGGGTTCAGTGCAATGATGCGCCAGTGAAAATCTGCAAATACCCAGTCACGGGGCTTTTTGAAGGAAGGTCTTACATATTCCGAGTGAGAGCAGTGAACAGCGCAGGCGTCAGCCGACCCTCCAGGGTCTCGGATGCGGTGGCTGCTCTCGACCCCATGGACCTCAGAAAGTTACAAGGTAGGCCGCTCACGCCTGGGTTTTCACGGTGCCCAGGAAGCCTTGGCTGTTTGTGTGTGATTTGTTTCTCTTTCCCTCCCAACTCGATGTGAGCTGTAAGCACGCCCTGTGTGCAGAGCATGGCACAGGCTGGGTCGCTGCTGTCTGACATCTCCGCCAGCGTCGCTGTAGGAATGGGGACAGCCAGGCTGACATTTCCAGTCTAAAATGAATGTGCCTCACCTCCAGAAAGCTCTTTGCTGGAATCCCAGTTCAAGTGGCTCAGAATTAGTCCTTTATACTCCATGAGTGATATAATTTCAGCACATAATGACACTTAGAAGGCCGTCCTGTTTCTGAGTTTTAATTTTGCACGACACAGATTCCTTAATGGGATTGAGTCCTTCGTTATGGTTTTAAGTGAGCCACTCCGTTTTTCTCACCCACGTGGTCCTTTGCATCCACCCCGAAGAGCTGAGACGTGCTAACTATTAACCAGGACACTTCTGTAATCAGCTAGGATGGCCCCAGAGGACTCATCACAGGTTGTAGTCCGAATGCAGAGGTGAATTAGGGAAAATGGGGGCTTTTGGGGAAACCTTTGCATATCAAATCAGGTGACAGCCTTTCTCTCCGCAGCCGTTCATTTGGAGGGAGAGAAGGAGATCGTCATTTATCAGGATGACCTTGAAGGTAAGTAGTTCCTCACTCACTCCAGCTGCTCCACCCCTGGGGATTTGGACTTGTAGTTAGAGATGGGAGAGACCGATTGAGAACACCCCCTGCTGGGCACAGTCTCTGCATGGAAAAATGAAAACTGCAGGTCAGGCCTGCGAGCCCAGTGTCCACAGAAGTTAGAAAAAGGAAACAAACAAAAAGGAGTAAGGCAGAGAGAGTGGGAACAAGGATGTCGGGGTCTCAGACTCACCTTTCACCTGGGGGTTACGGATGTATTCTTTCCGGGACCGGTAGGGAAGAAACGAGACTGAAGCTAAACTTGGTTGCCGGCTGATGTAAGATCCTTTCCCACAGACTGTGTTGGTCAAATCGTGTGTGTAAAAAATTCATTTTACATTTTCTAAGCAAAACTTTTATTCCTGACATTTTAACTGGAATGGTCTTTCCTGCCAAAGGATGTTCCTGGTGCTTATTTATATTTGATTTTGTGGATATTTTCTCTCTGATATTCCTTTTAGAGAGCTTTAGAAAGAATGATATGCTAAGGAGAATCCAGTATTATTAACCAGAAATCAAAAGACTTTAACTGGACTTACAATTAGAGTTCATTGAGTGCCGTGGGTGAAGGCTTATGAAGAAAGATTTTCAATCAGTTTGGAGCCGCTGGCTAAGGAGTGGTGTTTCTGAGCTGCTCTTTAAAATCACAGCCGTGCTCTCTCTCTCTCTCCTAGAGCTGCAGACTCAAAAAAGCTTTATCTTAATTGGTTTTCTACCTCTGAAGCAGATATGTCCCCAGCTGATATCCACACATTGCATTTTCTGCCCCCATAAAGATTTTTCTCTAGGATCTCAAAACTAACATATGTCCCAGTGTGTCCCATGAGGGACATCAACTCCCAAAAGAAGACCGTTAAGAATTCTGGTCAAGCCAAGGTAACCTTTAAAGCCATCGTCAAATCCTCTGGCTCCAGGAGGACCCGGAACTCAGGAAAGACGCTCTGCACGTAAGGAATGAAAGTGAAGACTTTGTGGAGGGCGACTTCATGCAGCTTCCTGGGCACCGGCTGGTTGACTCAGCCTAGTATTCTGTCCCATGCATGATAAACCCTCCCCATTTTTTTGGTGATGAAATCACAGACATTTGAATGAATGAAAAATGGCTCCAGAGTCTATGGGAAGAGAAGGCACGCTCAAGGCAGGCCAGCCTGTGTGGAATGAGGCTTGGTGTTGGGACTCCGGATGAACAGGCAGTCCCCCTTCTCACTCCTCATGGGCAGGCAGATCAGGGAGGAGATGCACAGCCTGTGTCACTCTGAGTGGATGCGTGGGATTCCAACGTGGCAAAGATGACCACGGCGAGAAGGCGTAACTTACTTTACAAATGTCACAGATCTGTGATGAAATTTGCCTTCGGTAAAGTCCATTGTGAAGAGCACTGGGAAAGGGAAATAATGTAATCGAATGAAGCTTCCCCAGGCAGAAACCCTGCCTTTTTGGAGAGATGGTCTATTTTTCTAGTGAGACATGATCGTGGTGGGATATAGGTTCATTACATGTCAAATGAAGAAAGAGTGCACGTCCTGAGGCTTGGTTTGCCAGCTGGTAAAATGGAAGTTTGGTATCTGGACACAGCAGCTGTCATTTCCGCCTGGAGTAAAGACTCAGATGCTACTTTCTGTGGCCTTGTGTTGTCCTTGCTTTCAGCAAGGCAGGTTTCTGGCTCCCTGGGCCTCTGCCCCCCTCTGTTTGAGGCAGTTGTGAACATGGCGGGATTTATTCATCCTCAGGGAACTTTTCCAGGGCTGTGTGTGTGCAGTGGGAAATGGGAGGAGGAGGGTGAGAATCTCCGGTGGAAAACTGCATGACTTGGGAGTTGGAAACTGCCTGGGGCATAGCCTCCTGGGCTTTGGTTCTCTGGCGTGACGCTTAGTGTACAGCGAACAGGCAACGTTCGTGGTCAGAAACAAACTGGGTATGGAATGGAAATTCTGCTCATTGATATGGGGGTTTGGGAAGTTCATCTGTTCCCCTCAGCCATTTTGACCAAGGAATACCTCCTCTAACTTAGAAAACCTTTAGCGAAGGAAAGAGATGCATACTATTTCTAAGCGAATCTTTCTGGGGTCCACAAATTTGCTATTAGGAAGTTCCCTTTTCTACCCGTGTCTTTTTTCTTCAGCTGATTTTTTTTTCTTTTACCATTGCTTTAGCTAGAAAACAGTTTGCAATCTCCACTTGTTTTAATGAAACAAACTAATTACTGTTGTTGGCTAAAAGGGGGTCCTCTGCTGTTTTTGACTTTCTGCTGAGTTTTTCTCATCATTTTAATCTTGGGCGACCTCTTCCTGCAAACGTCTAAATGGCTGTCCATGCTCTTTCCTTATCACCCAACTTTCCCAGTGTTTCTTGAATTGCTGCATTGAAAAATGGAAACTCTATTCTTGGAAAGGCCAGAGTAGACTCTGTCAGAATATAACGAGAGTGTTTTTACTCTACTGTTCTACCATTTGATTGTCTCCTGATTAGGCGTGCAGGCATTGGGGTGCTGTCTTGGGCCGGGTCCTCTGCAGCCCACGTGCTCAGTCACGTGCTCTGTCTTCTGCCCGACTCACTCCTGTTGTTGGGCACCCCCTTGAATTCCGCCACATCTGAAATAAACTCAGTGTTTCATTGACTTAGAGAAAAATCTCCTGGGGAGGTTGTGGTTTTCCTTAGGTGGACGAGGGAGCAAAATGCAGAAGTTGGAACCGGAAGACCTAAGCCTGGACCCCAATCCAGCCACCCAGTAGCTTTGCGATCTTAGGAAAGTGCTGCGTTTTCATGAGCTCCATCTGTGGATTTTTAAGTGGAGGGAACGCATAGTATCTTCCTCCATACATGAACAGAACCAAAAACAAGATACTGGATGTGAAAGCTTTTTAAAACAATATGTATTATATATTGATAATGTATATAACATGTAATAATACAAAAAGACTTGGACCATTGGCACAGGGCTAGGGAGCCTTCAGGGCTGAAGCAGAGATGAGGGCAGCATCAGTGCCCTGGGGGTAGAACTGTTCGCCTGTGTCTCGCTGTGCTTAGTGATGTCTCACATGTGCTTAGCGGTGTCTCATGTGTTTGTGTGTGCTTAGTGGTGTCTTGTGTGTGCTTAGCGGTGTCTCATGTGTGCTTAGCGGTGTCTCACAAGTACCTGGTAGCATCTCATGTGCTTCATGGTATCTTACATGTGCTTAGCACTGTCTCATGTATGCTTAGTAGTGTCTCGTGTGTGCTTAGTGGTGCCTCATGTGTGCTTAGCAGTGTCTTCCATGTGCCTAGTGGCATCTTGCATGTGCATAACGTTCATTTGCTTTCTCTTGGCTCCCCTCTCAGCTGCGGGCTCATCACTCATTCCCACCCCTGTTCTTCCCTCTCTCTGGCTCATGGGACTCTTCTGAGTCCTTTTCTCAGCTCTCCATGGCTGGAGCATCTGCAAATCCGCAGGGCTCCTGTGATTACAGTACCCAAGGTGATGAAGAATGTGAAGAATAATCCAAGTGTCTTGCACCCGCGGGGATCCACTGCTGACAAGACTGTATTCTTTCTTCTCACCTTGTCATCAAAGGAAATGTCTCTCTCTCCACTTCCTCTGGGCCTTTGACTACGTGCAGGGGCAAAGGCAGCAAGACATTTCCGAAAGTGTGAATGAGATTCTGCTGTCAGCAGCTCACACTTGCTCACTGCTTCTGTTCTTTGCCTTGTTCCTTCTGTCCCCTTGTTTGCTTCCCTCATTAGCGCCTCTGAAAATTAACCAGGATTCAGTTTTGGAATTTCAGTGTGTATTACAGGAAGATGAGTTTTCCAGGTCTTCTTTCTGTAATGCTTTTTTCTGTGCGTCTTGAGGTGTGGACACAGTGCACGAGTGGAGAGCAGGCCCGTGGGGTGTCCCCTGCCCTACCTGGTCTCCCTCTGTGCTTTCTGGAGACACGCTGACTCCTTGTTTGAAATTCAGTACCTTACTGGAATGATCCCAGCTCAGCCTACGTGGCCTCGAACACGCAGTGGGCCATGGAACAGGACTCAGGAAACAAAACTCAGTCTTGCTTTGTGCTGTTTCCATGTTCAGTTTCTGGCCTGCCACAGAGACCTGAGGGAGAACTGAGTTTTGAGAAGGGCTCAGAGATGTCCCGGGGAGGTTTCAGACCATTTTAATCATGTGCTAATCTAATTGGAGGCTCATAGTATTTTGTATCACAATTTCAAGAACTGTGGGTCTGGAAAACCTCCACCTCCACTCCTTATGAGCATCTCCTATAAATTCAAACAGAAATCCCCACACCTCACAGTATGTTAAAAAAAGACGTATGTCAGAAGAGGGGCGTATGGAGCATGTAATAGTTATTTGCAAAGGTCACTCCAGAACTTAAACATGCAGGCACAGAATACGGCGCCTGTGAATACAGGACCCATCTTGTGAGGGGGGAGCAGGCAAGATGCTTTAGAAGTAGGTGTATAATTTAAGTGCTCTGAGGGCACACGTATAAAGAAAGAACCCAGAGAGGACCCTTAGAGGTGGGGCCGCCTGGCTCTGCCGTGCCTAAGTACTGCGGAACACAGACTGCGAACGCGTTCTCTGCACAGATTCCCAATACAGTTTGAGGAACTCCATTTCAGGCACTATCCCTGGTTTCTTCTGGTAAATCCTTCCTCCTCTTCCAGAAGATTATCTGGAAGACTTTCATTTGAGATTCTTTTTTTTTTGACAGCGTCTCACTCTGTTGCCAGGCTGGATTGCAGTAGTACGATCTCGGCTCACTGCAGCCTCTGCCTCCTGGGTTCAATCAATGCTCCTGTCTCGGCCTTCCGAGTAGCTGGGACTACAGGCACACACCACCATGCCCAGCTGATTTTTGTATTTTTAGTAGAGATGGGGTTTCATCATGTTGGCCAGGAGGGTATCGATCTCCTGACCTCATGATCCACCTGCCTCAGCCTCCCAAAGTGCTGAGATTACAGGCGTGAGCCACCACACCTGGCTGAGATTCTTTTCTTATGAACTGGCTTATTTCTGTATTGGAAGCCAAAATAACTGGGTATCTTTGATGGTTCCTTATCCTCTGGCTCTGAAGAAGCAGTCCTTGGGGTTTGTTTGCTTTCCCCAAATAGAAACGAAGTGAAGAGCAACAGCCACCTCGCAGAGTCCTCCAGTGCTGAGAGGTGGGTCCTCCAGCACTCACTGAGTTTATTATTCCTCCAGGTGATGTCCAGATTCCAGGGCCTCCCACCAACGTGCACGCCTCTGAAATCAGCAGAAACTATGTCGTCCTCAGCTGGGAGCCACCCACTCCCCGCGGCAAGGACCCGCTCACGTACTTCATCGAGAAGGTAAGCTCCAGGCCTGTGTCCTGGAAAAGCTGACCTCTGCGTGGCCTCACACCATCGTGTCTGCTGTGTTTTAAAGATGATTTGTGGGTACAGATGCTTCACCGTGGCTGGGGAAGATGAGGTTAGGGCTGAGGTCACGCCACAGGGGGGCGTTCTGGGGTGGAAATTGGCCCCAGGGGCTGGGCTGCGTCCTAGCCCAGTGTTGCCCCTTGGTGTGAAGCTGCTTCCCTCTCTGGGCGCCTGTGTTCTCCACTGCCCTGTGGATGGCTGACCTTGAGGGATCTACCTTTTCCTTCCTGCTCTAACCTTCCAGGCACCAACATGCTAGGTATTCCAGATTCCTCACTGGCTTTGCTTGTGCATGAGCCGTGTGGCCATTGGGTGGCAGTCGTGTATAGGAAATTCACACAAGACGGATGGGTTGGAGTCACCAGATCATCTGCTGCAAGGCTCCTTTTTTGACCTGAATGCATACAATGAAATACAAAATACATTGTACACTGCAGTTCTGCAAACACATACGCAACAGACGCAGGCGCATGTATATGTATGTAACCTAGAGAATCTCACAAATTCTCTCTTTAAGCACGCATTCTCTCTTAAAGCTGGTCTGTCCTGTGGCATTAAAAACACAGGTTGTGACCCACTAATCTGACTTGGTGACCCTCTGTTGGGTTGTAGGCCATAGTTGGATAAGCCTCCTATGTCCTACAAAGGCTGTCACTAAAATTTTTATACTAATATGTGATACAACATATAGTATGCACGTGATGGAGAATATAACACATCTAAGCTTATGCCATCTAATACAATATTCACATATAGCAGCACTCAGTACAGCATGGCAGAAACAGACATGGAAATGGACCATATTTCAGACTCCAGAATGAAGGAGGATCCTTTGGCCTTCTCTGCTTATCTGCAATGCATGATATCTGGGGGGTAGAAAGTGCAATAATTTCAGCGTAAAGCATTAAATTATTAATTCTGGGTGACAAAGTGTACTTATTATGAAAATACAAGTGTCCAGTCCCTCTGTGGGGCTCTCCTAGGGCAGAAGCCATATTCTCAGGCCCTCACTCCCTTCATCTTCCGTCACTACCAGAAACACCAAGTTTGCAAACACATTTTTATTTTGAGACCAGTTCTCATTCTGTCACTTAGGCTAGAATGCAGGGGGCAATCGTAGCTCGCTGCAGTCTCTACCTCCTGGGCTCAAGCCCTCCTTCTGCCCTAGCCCCCTGACCCCCAGAGTAGCTGGGACCACAGGTGTGCGCCACCATACCCAGCTGATTTTCAATTTTTTCATAGAGAGGAGGTCTCTCCATGTTGCCCAGGCTGGTCTCAAATTCCTGGCTCAAGCAGTCTTCCTGCCTCAGCCTCTCAAAGTGCTGGGATTACAGGCACTTTAATGTGTTTGCAGGCCAGGTGAGCCATGACACCTCACCTGTGAACACACTTTTAGAGCGAGGACTCTACCGGGAGTCGGTACGTGGGCAGACTCTGTCGACATCCCTGCCTGCTGTCAGTATTGATGACATGACAGGCACGCTTTGTTTTTTGTTGGTAAATTTTATTATTTTATTTTTCCATAAGTTACTGGGGGTACAGGTGGTATTTGCTTACATGAATAAGTTCTTCAGTGGTGATTCGTGAGATGTTGGTGCACCCATCACCTGAGCAGTGTACACTGCACCCCATTTGTAGTCTTTTATCCCTCGCTCCCCTCCCACTCTTTCCCCCAAATCCCCAAGTCCATCATCTTCTTATGCTTTGCGGCAGGCACACATTTTTAAGAAAATGTAATTTCAACTTTTATTTTAGCTTCAGGGAGTACCTGTGCAGCTTTTGACAAGGGCATGTTGTGAGACGCTGATTTCGAGGTGCAATTGATCTTATCACCTAGCTGGTGAGCACAGCACTCCGTAGGTAGTTTTTCAGCCCTTGCCCTATCTGTTAGGCCTGAGCACCTACTGTAGACATCTTTGTGTCCACGTGAACTCAGTGTTTAACTCTCATTTGTAAGTGAGATCATACGGTATTTGGTTTTCTGTTCCTGTGTTAAATCACTTAGGATAACAGCCTCCAGCGGCACCCATGTGGCTGCACAGGACAGGATTTTGTTCCTTTTTATGGCTGTGTAGTATTCCACAGTGGGGTTGCACTGCATTTTCTCTATGCAGTCTACCACTGACGGGCAGCAGGTGGGAGGATTCCATGTCTTCACTGCTGTGAACATACAGGTGCATACGTCTTCTGGTAGAATGATTTATTTTCCTCTGGGCATATCCCCAGTAATGGGATTGCTGGATGAAATGGTACTTCTGTTTTAAGTTCTTTGAGAAGTCTCTAACCTACTTTCCCCAGTGGCTGAACTCATTGACGTTCCCCCAGCAGCGGATAAGCATTCCCATTACCGGTCCACGTTCGGATGTAGGAGAGGGAGCTCTGCTGTAGCCACCTGGACTGCAGTTGCTTGGGGCTGGGAGGGTCTCAGGCCCATGGCGCCGTGGGGTTCCCATCACGGATGCCTGGGGCAGATGCAAGATAGCGACTTTTCACATTCACCAAATTGAGAGAAGACGCCTTCAAATACGAATCTAATTTCTAGAAGTCTGGGTCGCTGTCTGAAATTTTCAGCAGACTTAGCAGGTCAGTGTATATCCAACTTTTACTACCACAAAACTACATTCAAAAAAGGAGTTTTATCTCTATGTGAAAAAAAAATAAAACATGTAATCAGGGTTTTTAAAGTAATTGCAAAAGACAGAAATTAAACAAGCAGTATATGGAATTTGGGAAAGACAGAGGAGTTACATGGAATGCAATTAAAATCAACAATAATTCCATCATAAAATAGCCATATTCGTATGTGGTACATATATTTATAGTCTTTTTCTCCATAGATTTTAATGTACTTGTTATATTACACAATTTTCATTTTGTGTTACATTTCACAAAGTAACATAATTCCTCTTATTAAAGATTGTAATACAATATTTAGGTGGCTATGTGGTTTTTAATCTAGGCACATATAATGTGTTTTACTGTATTGACAGTCATTTAGATTACTGACATTTTATCACTACCCCAAGTAGCCACACTGTGGTAATAATTTTAAATTGAAATGCCACTCACTGAGTCATGATGGAATTTTACAAATATACTCCTAAATTATCTTTCATTATTTGCAAGTTAATTCCATTTTACTAAAACTACAACCTAGGTATTGATTCCCTTACATTTTCTATGGTTGAATAATTTAATGGAAAAAAATTGTATTAGTAAACATTATCAACTGTGGGTAATTTACTTCCTTCTCCAAATTGGTATCATTGTCATACAGCTCAGAAAAGGCTGGCTGTGGTGGTTCATCCCTGTAATCCCAGCACTGTGGGAGGCCAAGGCAGGCAGATCATGAGGTCAAGAGTTCGAGACCAGCCTGACCCACCTGGTGAAACCCTGTCTCTACTAAAAATACAAAAATTAGCTGGACGTGGTGGCATGTGCCTGTAATCCTAGCTACTCAGGAGGCTAAGGCAGGAGAATCACTTGAACTCGGGAGGTGGAGTTTGCAGTGAGCAGAGATCGCGCCATTACACTCCAGCCTGGGCAACAGAGTGAGCCTCCATCTAAAAAAAAAACAAAGATGCATGCCCATCCTGTGTGTGTGAGATGCAGCGGGAGCACCTGGTGGACCTGCGTTGGCGAGAACTGAGCTTCCTTCCACACAACCCTGGGAACTTCTCTCTTTTCACTTCCAGTCTCATTTCTCTTTGTAGTCCGTGGTGGGGAGTGGTAGCTGGCAGAGAGTCAACGCCGAGACGGCTGTGAGGTCCCCGAGATATGCCGTGTTTGACCTTATGGAGGGGAAGTCATACGTGTTCCGAGTGCTGTCAGCAAACCGGCACGGCCTGAGCGAGCCGTCAGAGATAACATCTCCCATTCAGGCCCAGGACGTAACTGGTGAGCCGTCACCCTGGGTGCCCCCAAGTCAGGATAGGCTAAGAGTGGTGTGACACCAAATAGCCTTAAATTGTGTGACTAAAGACATTAACGTTGTAAGCAAGTTGAAGTTCAAGTTGAATTTAAAATTACTTTATGAGTGATTAAGAGCTCTCTGACATTTCTTGACATTTCTCTGAAGCTCCTTCTTCTTTTCATGAAGCCAGTAAGTGAGCTGAAAAATACATTTAGGAAATAGTCACTTTTATTGTTTTATTTAAACTTTTTTTAAAACTTTTGTTTTAGGTTCAGGAGTCTATGTGTAGGTTTGTATTATGGGGGTGTGTTGTAAAGATTATTTTGTCATCCAGGTACTAAGCCTAGTAGCCATTAGCTACTTTTCCTGCTCCTCTCCCTCCTCCCACCCTAGACCCTCTAAAAGGCCCCAGTGTGTGTTGTTCCCCTCTATGCGTCCATGTGTTCTTATCATTTAGCTCCCACTTGTAAGTGAGAACACTCGGTATTTGGTTTTCTGTTTCTGCATTAGTTTGCTAAAGATAATGGCCTCCAACTTGACCCATGTTCCTGCCAATGACATGATCTTGTTCTTTTTTATGGCTGTGTGGTATTCCATGGTGTACATGCACCACATTTTCTCTATCCGATACTTCATTGATGGGCATTTGGGTTGATTCCATGTCTTTGCTATTGTGAATAGTGCTACAATGAACATTCACACCCATATGTCTTTATGGTAGAACAGTTTATGTTCTTCTGATTATATACCCAGTACTGGGATTGCTGGGTTGAATGATAGTTCTTTTTTTGAGGAATGATGACACTGCTTTCCACAATAGTTGAACTAATTTCCATTCCCACCAACAGTGTGTAAGTGTTCCTTTTTCTCTGCAGTGGTCACTTTTAAAGTAATTCACATTTTAAGTACACCAGGGTTCTTTTGTGTGTATGTGTGTGTGTTTTTAAAAAAAACTGTTTTGTAGAGACAGGGTTTCACCATCTTGCCCAGGCCAGCCTTGAACTCCTGAACTCAAGGAATCCTCCCATGTTGGCCTCTGAAAATGTTGGGATTCCAGGCGCGAGCCAGTGCACCCAGCCAGGCAGTAGAGTTTCTTGCCCATCTGGCTTGAGGGTCCCTCTTGGAAGGTTTCAAATACAGATTACAGAAATTTTGAATTGTAGTCCCTGAAGTCATAACTCCTTCATGGATTGCAGTTAACTAGCGTGTAAGTGGAGGCCCCATGGAAGTCCCCAGAAGCCTTCATGGGAGGTACGCTGGTGTCAGGAACGCAGTTCTGAGTGCCTGGGTGCCCTCCGCACTCTCTCTCTATGCTGTGTTTCCTGAGAAAGCCACATACAGAAATGAACAAGGTCACGAGGCCAGCTGCCTCCAGGGTGTCCTCAAGTTTCTACCTGGTTCTGGTTTTAACTGAAATTCTTAGAACTCATACCCAGAACCACAGGCTTGACGAGACCAGCTGTCTCTCACAGGTCCCAGCCTTCTTTCGATTTATGGCATATGTGGAGAATGACCGTGAGCATAATTGAGAAACACTGTGGTTTTGGCCCAGGTGGCCGGCACAGAGGACACGAGTGGTACCGTGGCCTGAGCAGACCCCAATCCGCAGTCCACTAGTGAGGCCTGGCATGAGATGAGAAGATCTGATGGTCATGTCATGATTGAATTTTGAGTCCCCTGGGAGATCCCAAAAGATCTGATAAAAATGAATCTTACTTTCTTAAAATTGTTAATTTCCAGTCCAAAAAATAGTTGTTACCCAGGCAGCCTGACCCCCAGTGCCAACAGAGGATCTTTTTAAAGCTCTGGTGGAGGACAGGAGGCTTCAGGATGTCGTTCTGTGTCTCTAGGAGTTGTGTGGAGCTCAGGAAGAGACGGGAGTGGCCAGCCCCTCCCAACGTCCCTCGGGTGGTCGGCCCTGGACTCGGCTCCTGCTCTCAGACCCCTGGTTGACTTTCTTCCAGACCCCCAACTGGCTGTCCAGTTCCCTGTGAAAAGGTCAGGGAGATCTCTGGTGTAGCCCCCAAAGCTCTGATGCCGTTTCATCACTCCTCTTGCCTCCCACATAAAGTTGTCCCTTCTGCTCCTGGTCGGGTTCTTGCCTCCCGAAACACCAAGACGTCCGTGGTGGTCCAGTGGGACAGACCCAAGCACGAGGAGGACCTGCTGGGCTACTACGTGGACTGCTGTGTGGCCGGAACCAATGCCTGGGAACCCTGCAACCACAAGCCCATTGGATACAACAGGTGCGGCTCCCGCTTCCCACCCCGGCCCTGGAGTCAGCCGTGAAATGAAGCATGAGAAGCAAGACCATTTAGGTCCCGTGGCCCCCAGCACAGGGAGAACCACGGTTGCAAGGCTTCTGCATACATGAGCCTCAGCCACACGAGAGGGCTGTGTACTTTTAAAGTTTGACTACTTGGATGAGCTGCTTACGACACATGCTCATCTTCACCGAAATGATTTATTTATGAATTAAAGGAGAGTTCCAGAACCTGTTTTTTTTTTTTCTGACATAATTAGCACTTAAGCCTTTTCTTTGACTATAGTTGAAAATAGCAACTATAGTTGAAAATAGTGACTATGATGTGAAAGTCATTTTTTTGGGTATTGATTTTTTTGAACTTTAAAGTTGCTTTGTTCACGTGCCTGGTAGTTCTATTCTCCGGCTCCTGATGGAGACCCCGCCAGGAGCCCACACTTTGCTCGTGGTGGGGGCAGCTCGGGGGATGCTGGTTGGCTTTGCAGGTGAAAGCCAGTGGCCCTGCCTTTGGAGAGGACTTTCTCCTGCTGCCTGCTGAGTGTGCGGTATGTCTGAGGTTATTCAGTTTCTCTGCAACATGCTTCTTAGGAAAATGTAGGCAGCTGCCAGAATCGCCCTTGTGGATGGATGATCAATTATGGCTCAGCCATTTCTCCTTTTAAAATCTTAAAAAAATACACTGTAAAAAGCAGTGGCTAACAAGGAGAGATGTCGTTGAGAAGAACAACAATTAGATGTTCTTCTCAGTCCACACCAAATGCAGAAAGATCAATCAAAATAAGAAACTTAAAACATTATTCTAATACAAGGAAATGGTTAGAAAATATTTATTGACTGTATGTGATAAATAATAATTGCTTACATGTACTGAGTATCTACCCTGCACAATGCACTTGTGCTAAGTTCTCTACCTAGAGTTTTCCATGTAGTGCCTGCAACAATACTGTGAGGTAGGGATTATCATCCCCATCTTAGAGATAGAAAAACAGAGTCTTACAGGGGTTAAGAAACTTGATTAAGGTGATAACATCTGTTAGGTGTCAAAGCCAGTATTTGAGGCTAGTCTATCTGACTTCAAAGGCTTGGCCTTTAGCCACCGCAGCATGATTACTGCTCATTACACTTTACGTACCTGGGTTGTTTCAGATAAGAAATGGCATACTGTTGGATAATAGACCTTTGATCCAGACAAGGCCCAGAAAGTGCAAAAGCAAAGGTGAAGTCACAGAACAAGTGGCTTTGACACCACTTGTAGTCACTCCGGCTGTAATTGGGTGCCATGACCTTACTTTCAGGCTCTAAATGTTGAGCTAATTAACTAGAACTGGAAATGAAGGATGTATGTGATGAATAAAACTTTTGCATGATGTGTTCAACATGATTTCCGCTTCTGCTGCAGGAGAGAAAAAGCAGAGCTTCGCAGTTCTGACCCTGCTCCCTGTGTTTCCCAGGTTCGTGGTGCACGGCTTAACCACGGGAGAGCAGTACATCTTCCGGGTCAAGGCGGTCAATGCCGTGGGGATGAGTGAAAATTCCCAAGAATCAGACGTCATAAAAGTGCAGGCGGCACTCAGTAAGTCGCTCACGGCTGTTCTGTGCCAGTCGCTCCCGTACACTGTAATTTCTGCATGAAGAAACATTTATGATGCCATTTGGAATGTTACTGGATGAAAAAAGGAGACCAGCTGGTTGAACAGAGAACATGCAGTTCTTCAAAGCCTCTTGGCTGGCTGCTTGTCTTAGAAATGATAGTACGAGGGGCAGAAATGATAATATGCCAACAAAGTGCAAATTAAAAATAAAAACATTAGAGGTCACATGTGTTGCCAAATACCTGTACTCACGTTAAAATATATGCTGTAGGGGATACATTTCTCTTTTCAAAATCTGTGCTAAAATACAGCAACATCAATCACCTTACTCAGCTCAAGGAACTTAAATCATTTCAGGGAATGTCACGTTTATAGAACTTTGTGACTTTGTTCGTAAATAGAGATGTTTACAGTTTTGATCAAACGAGACAGTTGGGATCCTAAGTCTCAGGGACCGTCTGTAGAACAGCTGCTCTACAAAGCTGGGCTGCGTCCTTGTGTCTGTTTTCTTATGACATGCGCCTCACCAAGAAAGCACACATATTCAGGAAGATTTTGAAACACAAATGCCACATATGACATATTTTAACTCACAGAGAGAACAGTTTTGCTCTTTAATGATTTTTCATCTCCAACTAAATTTATAATATTTTGGGAAATTAAAACTTATCTTCTAATGATATTGCTGCTGGATTTCCAGGGAATGTCAATTGTGATAACACCTAGCCAGGTACAATAGCACTGACTGTTTTGTTTTAAGATAACTCTAAACTCCTCTCAATTTTTTCAGAGGGATTTTCAAACATTCCCATTTTCCTTTTTAAGTCACTCCTGCTAAATGAAAGCCAGTCTCTTTTTTGAGATAGAGTCTCATCTATGGCCACACCACCCTGAACACGCCCAGTCTCGTCTGATCTTGGAAGCTAAGCAGGGTCGGGCCTGGTTAGTACTTGGATGGGAGATAGAGTCTCACACTGTTGCCCAGGCTGGAATGCAGTGGTGCGATCACAGCTCACTGCAGCCTCAACCTTTTTGGGCTCAAGCGATCCTCACGCCTCAGCTTCCTGATTACCTAGGACCACAGGCACACACTACCATGCCCAGCTAAGTTTTTAATTTTTTTGTAGAGATGGGGTTTCACCATATTGCCTAGGCTGGTTTCAAACTCAGGAGCTCAAGCAATCCTCCTGCCTTGGCCTCCCAAAGTGCTGGGACGACAGGCATGAGCCACTGCGCCCGGCCTGTTTTTATTCTACGGTAAGAATCACTTACTCTAGTCACCTGTGTCTCAGGTAACAGAGGATGGCCACGTTGAGATGACTCAGAGCTGGGCCAAAGCAGACTCGGGCCCATCCATTCTAGACCTGAGAGCTGAAGGCGGTCCGTTTCAAATGTCCTGCTCAAACAGGGAAACAAGAATTCATACTCATTTGAAGGAATCTGAAGTTCCTATAACTGTGCAGGAAATTAAAATAAGCTGGAATAGTATCTGTCGTCTCTGGCCACAGATGCAGAGTAGTTGCTCCTTACGGTTGTAAAGGCGAAAGCTCGTCTCTAAGCTTCTTTTAGGGACATGGAGGATGGGACATCTGCTCTGTCAAATGCTCGCACCAGATTAAACTGTTCAGTGCCCTTGTCCTATGGAAACCTCAGCAGATACATTTAGAATAGCAATAAATATATATGAGAAATGCTGTTATTTATTTTTATACTCATCCCCTTTAAAGAGGCGTAAAGATCAGAATGGTTAAATGTGGGTCGAGAAGGATCAGAGGGCTCGGTGTCTAGGCCCATCTCCACATGGCTTCCTCTGCCCTCTGCCACGCTAGAGCTGGCGGCCCTGGGACAAAGCCCCTGGCTGAGGTCCCTGGTGACTTCCTGGTTGTGCTTCCTTGCAGCCGTGCCATCCCATCCTTACGGGATCACGCTCCTTAACTGTGACGGCCACTCCATGACCCTCGGCTGGAAGGTTCCGAAGTTCAGCGGTGGCTCACCCATCCTGGGCTACTATGTGGACAAGCGCGAAGTTCACCATCAAAACTGGCACGAGGTCAATTCCTCGCCCAGCAAACCGACAGTCCTAACGGTTGGTTGGTTTTTGTCTGTTTTTTTTTCTTGCCTAGGTGGTTCTTTTACATTTTGGGCAGTGTTTCTGAGTTTGGTGGCATTAGATAATTTGATACAGACACAAAAATGGGTTAAAAAATGGCATCATGAGGTCATGAAGCTTTGGAGCTGAAAAGATGCTAGGAATCATGTTCTTTTTCTTTCTGAGAAGCAGTGAAGAAGAGAGCTCAGTGACAGAGTGGGTCTGGCAGTGAGTCAGTGACCTCTGGTGTGACCAGGACCTGGTCCCGGTACCCGTGATAACGTCCCTTGTTCCAAGCTCTGAGGCCTTGAGGGTAGGGATGCAGTTTCATGGGGATGCCCGAGGGGAGAGTCATGCTGAATGTGTGTTTAGGAACAGAGTGACATTGACTCTCTGCCTGTCACCCACCGCTTCCCTAAGACATGCTTGTATTTCAAGCCTCCAGGGGAGTTCCTTGCTGCAGTGCCTGTGATGCTCAGGTGCAGATGGCGAGGACATCAACACAGGGCTCAGAGATCTGGGGTCAGATCCAGACACGCCCTTGGCAGCCACGGTCCTGTGTCCCTCTCTGGCCCTTGACCCCTCATCTGAGCATGGATGAAGGACCGTCACCTCACACTGCATCCCCCATCCCAACCCCGAGACAGCCACAGACCCCTGGGGAGTCTCTTACACTCCAACAGGAGGGCTTTCTTTTTGGAGGGGGCAAGGTCTTCGAAGAGCTAATCTTTGTCTACTAGAAAATTCTGCTTTATCAATATATCTCTCATAATATGTAATATATTTTTAATATTTTATGTATACATTATGATATATGGGCAACTTTCCAGTTTGTTGTGACATTGTTGATATCTTGCCCACATTCAATCTGTGTTCCCATGCCTTAGAATGTCTACATGTTCTCAACTTAAAAATTATTTTATTTTTAATTGACAAATAATTGTTTGTACAAATGGGGTACAATGTAATATTTTAATATTGCATTATGGATTATGGGTACATTAGCTTGATTAAATCAAGCTAATTAACATCTTCATTGCCTCTCAGCACTTATAATTTTTTGTGGGGAGAACATTTAAAATCTGTTTATTTATGTATTTATTTTTTGAGACAGTGTCTCACTCTGTCACCCAGGCTGGGGTGCAGTGGCACGATCTCAGCTCACTGCAAGCTCCGCCGCCCAGGTTCAAGTGATTCTCCTGCCTCAGCCTCCCAAGGAGTACAGGCGTGCATCACTACACCTGGCTAATTGTGCATTTTTTAGTTGTGACAGGGTTTCACCATGTTGCCCAAGTTGGTCCTGAATTCCTGACTGACCCCAGGTGATCTGCTCACGTTGGCCTCCCAAAGTGCTGGGATTACAGGTGTGAGCTAATGTTCCTGGCCTTAAATCTATTCTAAAAATCGTTTGAAATCCATCTACAACACATTATTATGGGCTACATCATCTCTGTGCTGTACAAGAAGTGCCAGAACTCCCCCCTCCTGTTCCTGCTGGAAGTTTGTCCCCCTGGCCAGCACCCCCTTCCCCCTGCCCTGTGCCCGCCCTCCGGGCCCCTATCTGTGTGAGCGCAGCTGTTTTAGATTCCACATCTGAGCAAGGCCACGCCTGTCTGTCCTTCTGTGCCTGGCTCATCTCACTCAGCAAAACAGTCCTTTACTCCATGCGACATTCCTGGGAAAGACACCGGCTTCCTTTCGGAATGCTTCGCCGCCACTTCACTGAGGAGGATGAAGGCCCTCACCTCGGACTGAAGTGGTTTACCCTCAGACATCTTGCTATGGAAGCTATTTTTTGAAACAATGTTTACCTAGAGAGTGTTTTTGTTCCGCAGGCCATGCAGAGTGAGGCTCCTGGAGTTGGCCAAAGGCCTTCCCAGAGCTTTGTCCCCTAGCCAGGCAGCGTCCTCAAGGGTCTGGGGGGTGGCCCGGGACTGCGGCACCCCAGAACCTGGGCAGCCCGGGGGCCCTTGCCCTGCGGAGTCCGAGTGTGGGGCACATGGCAGGCTTCATCTCCAGGGTGACCCCCTTGTGTCCAGCGCACGGCCTGATCGGGGGATAGCGTGTGACTTGAGTGCCTGTCTCCTCCAGGTCTCTGTCCTTGCCTTGGCTCTGGGCAACAGTCACCTCTCTGGGCCTCCGTTTCCTTACCTGCTCCTGGGGTACCACCTGTCCCCTGTCCCCCGTAGGAGCCTTTGGGAACTGAGTGAGGGATACATGTAAGGTTTCATGCAGCTGCGGCTTGTCAGATGCATCAGGAGCCTTCCTGAAATATTTGCTCCCATTTCCTGACAAGGTTCCTTCCTCTCATGTTTTATTTCACAAGCCAGTTATAAAAACTCCTTTCCCTCAGTGGGTTGTACTTTATCTCATGTAATCATTTAAACAAAATCTGAATAGGTGGACGGCTTGACGCAAGGCTCACTCTACGAGTTCAAAATTGCTGCCGTCAACCTGGCCGGCATCGGGGAGCCCTCAGACCCCAGCGAGCACTTCAAGTGTGAGGCCTGGACCATGCCAGAGCCCGGTGAGTGGCTGCCCCCAGGACACCTGCCTCTTAGTGCACAGGCTGGCTGGGAAGGGGCCTCTGCGGCTGCGGCTTAGGCCTTGACAGCTTTCACAACGCATCTTTTCCTCTGACACCTGCAGCCACAGAGCCATTGTGCGCCAGGCACTGTGCAGGACTGGAGTTGAGTCAGGCAGACACAGGGTCTAGTCTGGGGCGTGTGTGGTCCAGAGGCTGATGATGAAGGCAGAATAGGAGGCCCTGAGGTGAGGCAGGAGGGAGCACAGGACACCCAACCCAGACCGTGGGGGAGAGGGACAGCTTCCCATGCATCCCCTGACCTATGACAAGGACCTGGCCCGGGTCCCCTTCCCCTAAAGGAGCAGAGAGGGACCGAAGGGCAGGCAGAGAGGGTCTCAGGTGGAGGGGAAGGTGCCAGCCCAGGCCCCAGCTGGGAGGCACAGCAGGGCTCTCATTTGTGGGTGACCTCCTGCTGTTTTCCTCTCAGACCGTTTGGGGATCTCAGGGCTTCCAGTTCTAAAAGGCATAACCGTTGCAAATCTGCTTTGATTTAGCTCGCACTCCACTCGTTTTTTATTTTGAGATGAGGTCTCTCTATGTTGCCCAAGCTGGTCTTGAACTCCTGGGCTCAAGCCATCTTCCACCTCAGCCTCATGAGTAGCCGGGACTCCAGGTTCACGTCACTGTGCCCTGCTCACACTTTCCGCTTTCACAAGTTCTCAAGTGCCAGACATTGATTTGTCTCTAACCTGTCAGGGATCAAATGCAGTGGATGATATATGTGTACTTCAACAAAGTAACACCTGAAAGTTGAAGCTGAAAAAGTTGAAAGTTCAGAGTGTTTTCCAATGTTATGGCCAGAGTATACTGCCTTTTTCCTTTCAGTCAGTGTCTTTTGACTTAATAAATCAGCTGCTAAGAATCCAAATAAAAAAATCCTCCCCCTCCCCTCCCCTCCTCCCCTCCCTTCCCGTCCCCCCCCCCCTCCCCTCCCCTCCCCTCCCTTCCCTTCCCTTCCCTCTCCTCCCCTCTTTCCTTCTTCCCTCCTTCCATTCCTCCCTCCCTTCCACCTTCTTTGCTACCTTCTTTCCTGCCCTTCTACCTTTCTTGTTTTAATGAAATTAATATATGGACCTTAGAAAACCAATGGTAAAAAAAAGCCATTCTACTTTCCTGAGCCTTTTTGAAGGTTGATAGGAGGCGGCCTCTTGAGGCGCAAGGCCGCAGTGAGACTGGCTGAGGATGGTGGGGGGCTGCCTCTCTGCTCCCCTGCACCACTTGGTGCTTGCCTGGGCCTGGGCCTCAGTGCCACACGCCCTCAGTTGCCGTGGGTGTTTGTAGAGGGCAGGGCTGCAGCTGTGTGCTGCTGGCCAGGTGGGCAGTCTCCCTGAGTGACCGTGACCCACAGGCGTGCAGCCTCGGGGAGGGTAACTTAAGAACCCATCCTTTTCTGCACACTGTTCCTCTCTGTGATAGTATCTGCTGGTCCTGCAAGTGCAGCGTGGACTTTTGGATGATTCTACATGGACCCACAGTTTCCCTGATGCCCACAGAGGGGGTGGCAGGAGCGTTAGGCTGGGTCCTCATCCTCCACCCCCAACATCATGGGAGCACCTTCCTTACCACGCTCTCCAAGAGAGGCTGATAAGCATCAGATCGGGAACAGATACCCAGGGTCCTGATGGGGGGCGTCCTGGAGGAGCAGCAGGTCCCCAGGGCTGGAGCGGGTGTGCAGGACTGGCTATGCACACAAAGGCAAGGTGGCATCTGATGTCACAGGTCCTGCATACGACCTGACGTTCTGTGAGGTCAGGGACACGTCCTTGGTCATGCTGTGGAAGGCCCCCGTGTACTCCGGCAGCAGCCCTGTTTCTGGGTATTTCGTGGACTTCAAGGAGGAGGATGCTGGAGAGTGGATGACTGTCAATCAGACAGCAACGGCCAACCGTTATTTAAAGGTGAGTCTTGGCCGGGTGTGGTGGCTCATGCCTATAATCCCAGCGCTTTGGGAGGCAGAGGCGGGCCAATCACTTGCGGTCAGGAGTTTGAAACCAGCCTGGCCAATATGGTGAAACCCCATCTCTACTAAAAATACAAAAAATAAAAATAAAAAAAATTGCCAGGCGTGGTGGCGCCTGTAATCCCAGCTATCCAGGAAGCTGATGCAGGAGAATTGCTTGAACCCGGGAGGCAGAGCTTGCAGTGAGCTGATATTGTGACACTGCACTCCAGCCTGGGTGACAGAGTGAGACTCTGTCTCAAAAACAAAACACAAACCAAACAAAACAAAATATACAAAAAAATGAAGGTAAGCTTCCGTCTTGGTGTTTCCCTTTGTGTGAAAGTGCTGTTGGTCTCTGCAAGCCAGCACAGAGCCCTGAGGTGGACCCGTTCAGATGACCACGGTGTGGCTGCTGAGGACGTAGGTGTCATGTACACCGTGGGTCCCAGCAGATGGTGGGACAGTGCCTTGAGAACGCTGTGCCCTCCTCCCATTTACACCGAGGTGCTGTTTGCTCCGGGGAACTGCACCTGAAGTGCCTGTTTTATTTTGTATTGCAGTCTAATAGCTGTTAACTGTTCATGGGCTATGTCTCGGTGCTTTCCACAGGGATGAGGCATACTGTACGGTGTCCTTCCCCTTCACGACCTGCATTTAATTTACTTGATTCGTGTGATCGTTAAAGTCCATGTGATAAACACCACACACAGATATACACACAGTTTTCATACCTGGAGCAGAATTATAATGTGTCAGTTGCTCCAGCCTCTCTGTCTCCAAATGTTTCTGTCTTTAGCACTGTGGTTCCTCGGTGACTGGGTCAGTTGTAAGGACTGCTTTGAGCCCCAGGAGGCCAACATGCTCCAGCTGAGTTGCCAACTGCCTTAACCCAGAGGTTTTCTTCTCTGGGTGCTGGGCCCTGTGGTGGGGCAGGCCTGTGTCCTTCCCTGTAGCACATCCACATCTGGGTCCAGCACCCAAGCACAGGCCAAGAGGGCTTTCCATAGGTGACACCCTCCCAAAACCCCTTGACAATAGGAAACAGCTAGTTCCTTTAAAATGAACAAATCGGCGTCTAAGAATCAGCTAGGTAAGTCAACTAGAAGCTTAGTAAATATATATTGATGTGTATCAAAGCAGGTTATAATAGGAATAACTCATGTATGTACAAGTAGAGATGGGATTCATTTTGATGTCCCAATGATGATTTTACACAGTTCAATATCACACTTAGAACAGTAGTTCCGTAGAATTATGAACTAACTACTGTTATAACTGTGATATTGAATTGTGTAAAACACATAACATAGAATTATTAGGTGTCTATGTGTGGATGGGTATAAATGGAAGTATAAACACCAGATTACAAACTAGAGATATTGATTTTACTTCTGCGTTATAATAAGAGGTAAAAAAAATGCAAGAGGTTCTGTCAGATTGGTAGCACATGTGTTTACTTCTCCGAAGTGAAATTCTGCATGACTGTGAATCTCCTCTTCCCTGCCTGTCTAGCTCACTAAGTATCGTTCTTTCAACTGGACAGATAAGCTATTTTTGAAAAGACCTATTCATAATAAAATGTGAAAAATTCCAAGGTCGTCTTTATTTTACCTTCACACATATGGTCTTTCCTCTGTCATTTCAAGGTCTGTGACCTGCAGCAAGGGAAGACCTATGTTTTCAGGGTCCGAGCAGTCAATGCAAATGGCGTGGGCAGGCCCTCGGACATGTCGGAGCCTGTGCTGGTAGAGGCCAGACCAGGTAAGGCTTTGCCATTAGCCATTCAAAATAGCAAAAATTGTGGAACCACAATGACTTGGGGCGAGAGTGTGCATGTATTATGTATGTATGTATGTATGCGTGGATAAATGAATGGGAGAGTGTACATGTATTATGTATGTATGTGTGGATGGATGTATGGATAAATGCATGTATTATGTGTTCATGTGTGGATGGGTGTACAATAAATGAGTGGGAGAGTGTGCATGTATTGTGCATATGTGTGGATGGGAGAGTGTATATGTATTGTGTGTGCATGTGTGGATGGGTGTGTGGATAAATGAATGGGAGAGTTATATGTGCATGTATGGATGGGTATATGGATAACTGGGAGAGAATACATGTATTATATGTGCATGTATGGATGGGTATATGGATAAATAACTGGGAGAGCATACATGTATTATTTGTGCATGTATGAAGGGGTATATGGATAAATAACTGGGAGAGCATACATGTATTATGTGTGCATGTATGAAGGGGTATGTGGATAATAAATGGGAGAGTTATATGTGCATGTATGGATGGGTGTATGGATAAATGAAAGGATGTCTTGTCATATTTTTAAAAAGATTTGGATGGGTAAATGAAGTATGCACTTTAATCTCTGCCTGTGCACTAATGACCCTGGCATAGAGGGAGAGCACATTGGGTCGTGAAGACATGGTTGACAGGGGTTGTTCTTGGAATGGTCAAGTCATATGCAGGAAGGATGGTATTTTAAAAATATTATTGCTGGATTTTTATTAGAAAATTTTAAAGCTGTTGGTAATTTTCTTGGTTCCAATGAATAAAACTTCCCTGGAGTCAGCCTTAAAAGGGCAAGTACTTCTGGAGGCAGGGCACACACCCACAGGATACATGGTTTATTTATTCCGTGTTGCTGGATAATTTATTTTAAAAAGTTTATTTGGCTCATGATTCTGGAGGCAGGAAGTCTAAGAAGCACAGTGTCGGCATCTGCTGTGGTGGCTCCAGTGAGGGCCTCCCACTGCCCTACAACATGGCGGAGAAGTGGGCGTGTGCGGAAATGGCCCCAGCACGGGAGGCAGCCTTGCTTTATAACACTTGCTCTCTCTGGAATTAGCCATTCCAGTTCAACCAGCCAACCAACAGCCAGGGTTATTAGCAGGAATCTACCCAGTCTTTCCAGAAAGACATTAGTCTATCTTACCAACCTCATCACCTCTTTTAAAAATATTTTTATTCCTTTATTTTTTATAAAGACAGGGTTTCGCTCTGTTGCCCAGGCTGGTCTTGAACTCCTGAGCTCAAGTGATCCTCCAGCTTGGCCTCCCAAAGTACTGGGATTACACGCATGAGCCACTGCCCCCAGTCCCCAATCACCTCTTAAAGGCCCCGCCTCCCAACACCATTGCACTAACTGTTACATTGCAATGTGAGTTTTGGGGGGATAGCCACAAGAGTGTGATCTGAATAGCTCAGTGGAGCCTCAGGAAGCAGTGGAGCCTCAGACTGTGAAGGTCCCAATGGCTCTCTGCGGTTGCCTCTCACTGCTTCATTTCACCCTGACACCTGGTTTTCCTTGCACCTCTATCTTCTTGGTGACCTGAGGGCCCCTACACTTCATGGCCTCAGTCCCACTCACCAGCAGAGGCTGAGCTGTATCTTGTCCAGTTCCTAATTCCTAAGAGATGAATTCTACCTTGCACGTGATCTGATGTTCACCTGGGTTAAAACATAGCAAATAAACCACAAACAACCCCTGCTTCCAAACAAGACAAGACAAGGCCCCATGGAGAAGGCAGAGCCGTGTGAAGGGGAGCTCAGTGGTGGGCACACGGCTGCTGGGCTTCCCTGTGAGGGTCAGGGGCGGAGATTCCAGAGAGAACAGGATCCTCAGGGCCTAGAGAGGCAGCCCTGAAAGGTTTTCTGCAGTTGCATGGGACTCAGAGGTGGAAGTGGCAGAAATGTGATAAATCAAAAAAACTAGCAGCAACAAAACAACCAAGCCCCTCCAGGTACTCCCTAAAGTGTTTTCTCTCGTGATTCTCTGATCGGTCCTGGGTCATTAAAAACAACTGCTGGTGTGGTGTAAGATGAGGTCTCTGCTTTGGCTACACCTCTGGATTAGTCTTTTCTCACGCTGCTATGAAGAAATACCTGAGACTGGGTAATTTCTAAAGAAAAGATGTCTAATTGACTCACAGTTCCGTATGGCTGGGGAGGCCTCGGGAAACTTAGTCGTGGCAGAAGGCACCTCTTCACAGGGCGGTAGGATGGAGTGAGTGCCAGCAGGGGAAATCCCAGATGCTTATAAAACCATCAGATCAGGTGAGACTCACTCACTATTACCATAACAGGATGGGGGAGGCCATCCCCACGCCCCAATCACCTCACTCCCTCGACACTTGGGGATTGCAATCCGAGATGAGATTTGGATGGGGACACAGAGCCAAACCATGTCACCTTCACCCAGAAAAGAGTTCAAAGGACACCGTGTCCCTAAGCCGCTCACCTCATGTTCTTTGTATGTAGGCACCAAGGAAATCAGTGCCGGTGTCGATGAAGAAGGCAACATCTACCTGGCCTTCGACTGCCAGGAAATGACAGACGCCTCTCAGTTCACCTGGTGTAAATCCTATGAAGAGATTGCAGATGACAAGAGGTTTAAAATCGAAACCGTGGGGGATCAGTAAGTCTGGCCTGGAAGTTGGATATTGCAAACTTTTAGAAGCTCCTGCAAACAGAAGCAGCTGACATTCACCTACTCTTCTTCTCTTTTAGCTCCAAGCTGTACTTTAAGAATCTGGATAAGGAGGATTTAGGGACTTACTCGGTGTCTGTAAGTGATACAGATGGAGTGTCCTCCAGCTTTGTTCTGGACCCAGAAGGTAATATCTGTATGGCAGAACCTTGCCTGTTTTGGTTTTATCACACTTTGAAAGATTGACACCAGCATAGAAAAAACTTACTTGCTTAGAAAAAAGAAGTATGTTTGCAGGAGGCTGGCTGTGGGGGATATGTATATAAGCCAAAGCTTACTTTGGAAATTAAACAAACTCTAAAGTTTATGTGGTTTCCATCAAATAGTCTCTGATCCAGACACATTGCTTGTATAGCCTTCAACCTGTACTTTTAAAGTTGAGTCCTAGCCACATTTTAATAGTTTGGTATGCAGAGGGTAACATATTAGCAAAGAAATCCATAAAATTACCGAGAAGCCTACAGATGGAAGAGTCTTCCCTCCCTTCCAACACTGAGAAAACTGGATGAACAAAGAAAAAAAATTTTGTGCATGTAATTGAGGGGAAAAACAATAGTTTTCTTAGGTAGGTTCACAGATCTGAGTTCATCAGGCACACAGGCTCAGGCAGGCAGGGCTGAGTTTTTTTAACTGCCTGGTATCATGTGTGTTTATGTGGCTGCTCATCTACCTCACCCACAGGACAGAGTCAGCCTTAGACATTTTCAAAGAAAGAGGCAGTGATGCAGCATGAAGTTGCAGGACTGGATGGTATCCTCAGATCTCTTTGGATCTTTAAAGCATTTGAGTTTCCAAAAGTTTTATATGAAAATGCTCTCTAGGGGTGGCATAAATGATCTCCAGGGATGCCCTAAGATTTACAAGCAGATCCTTTAGTTATTAGTCAGTGTCCAGGTTGACAGGATGCAGAGGGTGTGACCTGAGAACATCTGACCCAGGATGGGTGCTGAGGGCTGGGCAGGTACCCACGGGGGCAGAAGGGGGCAGCCAGAATCACACCCTCAGCTTCTCCAGTGTGTAGATCTGGCTCAATGTTGGTTAAATTCTGGAAAACTCTTGCACATTTAACAAGACACAGCTGGACAAATGAGGAGACCCACACTGTCTCATTTTTCTTGGGTCCTCAGTTCGCCTCTCCCAGGCAGGGCAGGAAGGACCCGAAATCTACATGCATGTTTTAAAGCAACCTCTGCTGGCCCTGCCTCCATGGTCTTGACACAGTTTTGTACCTTCAAGGCATCCTGAAGGAATTCTGAAAAGCTACGCATTCCTCTACACCATTTCAAAGTTTCCAACTTAATTTTAAATGTCTTAAATATTTGCGAAAGATAAAATTTTTGCCTTCTCTTATATTATGTATAGACTTCGGATATATTTGAGGCAAAACTTTGAAGTTGAAGGTTTAGCTCATTCCATTTATGGAAATTCCTACTGGAAGATTTAATTGGGAAAGCCAGTGCTCCCTGTCAAACCAGTTGCCAATGTGAATTTACTTTTGGCCAGAAAAATCTGACTTCATTTTGAGTAGACATATTCACGAAAGGCTCAGAGACCAGCATCTCATTTCCGATTCTAATTTTAAGGAGGAAGGAAGGAGAAAACTGAACTGCCTGAGCGCATCCGATTTTCTTGCTTTGCTCCTGGGACTTGGTTAGGAAAGCAAAATGCAATGTGTTTCATTTACTTTTTTTGTTTTCTTTCTTCCTTTTTTAAAATTCATGGTAATACACTTTCGTGATGGCTTTAGTGGTACGTATATTTTTCTTTAATGAGATTGAAGAAGGAAATCTTGAAGGGGAAGGAACGTCACAGGCCACAGGCACATTCTCAGCCAGTTCAATCAGTTCTAGAAAAGAGCTCACGTGAAGTGCAAGGATCTGGAAAAGGGTCCCTTTAACCTTTCACCTTCCGAGCCTTCCTTTACTCCCGATATTCCAGCCCCTGCCCCCAGTGCCTTAGTCCCCACGACGGTGCCCTGCCTCGCCCTCAGCTGCCCCTGTACTAGGTGGACCAGGTGGGTTCTTTAAATGGTGAAGGTTAAAACCGTCCTCTATGTCCCTTAGACCCGTCGTTAAAATTCCTTTTGTGTCCTCCAGTTAAATCCTGGGGGTGTCCAATCCTTGCTGTGTGTAGCCTTGCTGTTGTCTGCAGACTTCTGAATGTGCAGGTCTAAATCAATGGAAATACTTTTTCTTTGTTTTAGAGCTGGAACGTTTGATGGCATTGAGCAATGAAATAAAGAACCCCAGTAAGTAAGCCTCCAGCCCATACCTCTGCCTGTAGCCGCTGGCTGGCGGGCCGTGTTCATTAATGCATGAGCTTTTGGAGGAACAGCTTTGGGGAAAGGATGGCCTCATTTCCTGATTCTGGCTTACAGGATTGAAATCTATTGATTTAAAACAAATACTAGCTTATGTTATAGCTTGTTGAAACTTGCATTGCATACAGAGTGATTTGAATTTTGGGTTTAGTATAGCTGTTCCTAATCCAAGTGAAACCCAAGATTTCATTTCCATCAAATGAAATCTTCTGTTATTGAATTGCGTTAAATATAGAACAAATCCAGGCATCTCTGCTCACTGAACACATCCGGAAAACTAACCTCACGTGGCATGAGGCTTTAGAGGCAACAACAGGCTAACTCAAGGTTTGTTTTTTATTTTTGGTTTCCATAATCTAATACTCCAGGGTTTCACATTCTGAAAAAATTTAATAACTAGGATTGATGTTTTCCTCCAATATGCAGTTATTCTTCCTCACAAGGATTTATGCATTATTGACTTGCGATTTCTTTTCTTCCTGTAGCAATTCCACTGAAATCAGAATTAGCTTATGAGATTTTTGATAAGGGGCAAGTTCGCTTCTGGCTGCAGGCTGAGCACTTATCCCCAGACGCCAACTACCGATTTATTATTAACGACAGAGAAGTGTCTGACAGCGAGGTGAGTTCCTGTGTGAGTGATCTCTGGCTTTGCAGGGAGCTCTGCTCTGTGGTGGTGGGTCAGTTACAGAATGTCAACATTCTCTGTTTCCATCCCTTTTTGAGCCTTAAAGATTGGGGTGTGGACGGTTGACAAGATGAATGGGGATGGTTGATTCTACAATGTTCAGAGGTTTGATCTGGGTTAGAGGAGACATCAGGAGTCTTTTAAATCCTTGCCCGCTGGAATTAAAAATGATTTTGAGCTCGTTTTGTGAAAAGGTTCAGGTCACGTGGGGAAAGGAATAGTCTTGATGAGTCAGTTCACTTATTCTTGATAATGGTTTTGAAGGTGTCTATTGTGAGAGAGGCCTCCCTGCATTCTCCCCCCGCCGATAGCTTCCCATGGAAAGCATCTCTGGGGAGTAAGTTTCTGCGGCTTCCCTACCTGTTTGGGCAGCAATCTTGGTGTGGCAGACTGACCTGACTGTGTGGCTGTCAAGAGCAATGTTGTGGCCAGGCACGTCAGCTCTCACCTCAAATCTCAGCAGTTTCAGAGGCCAAAGTGGGAGGATTGCTTGAGCCCAGGAGTTCAAGACCAGCTTGGGCCACATAATGAGATCCCATCTCTTCAAAAAATTTAAAAATTAGTTGGGCACAGTGATGCTCTCTTGTAGTCCCAGCTACTTAGGAGGCTGGTGTGGGAGGATCACTTGAGCCTGGGAGGTCCGAGCTGCAATGAGCTGTGATTGAACCACTGCACTCTAGCCTGGGTGACAGCAAGGTGCTGTCTCAAAAAAAAAAAAAAAAAAAAGACACATGTTCTGCCACACTCCAGACACTGCCTGTGTTCTGCCTTTGATCATATAAAATGAGTCTTAACAATGATGACAGGTGCTCCTTACTTGTCTGGAGAATATTTGAGAAGCCATTGGTTGTGTTTATATAAGTTTCCTCTTTTCTAATCACAGCATGCCTGGGACTCAATTAAAGGATAGCCCTAGTTAATGGGGACTTTATTGTTCAGTGATGGCCTGGGGTTCTCTCAAAGCCCCCAGCTTCACTGCTTCTGCCCTTTTTCCTTTAATGCCCAGTATATAGTGAGGTTGGCAACCTTAGCTGCGTACTAAGTCCTCAGTGTTGATTGGTTTGTTCATTACACACGTGTTAGGGGAACCGTGGGATGCAGGAGCCTCTCCTGTTCCCAGGCAGCCCACACGCTGTAATATGTCTAAGCTGGACCCCTCATTGCCATCCAGCCTTTGTGTCTGCTGCGCATTTAGTAGTGCTCAGTTAGACGAACGTTGATCAGCAGAAGTCTTGTGTGCACAAGGATCATCGAATTTTCTTCTCCAGGCCATCTTTCCCGTGAGAATCACGCACACTGTAAGATTTATTCCTACATGGTAGAGTTGGCTACAAAGTAGGAAACATCTAGCTGCTTTTGGGCTGCAGAAAAGCCAGTGGTATAACTATTGCCTTTGGGAGACTTAAAATCTGATCCAGGTAATTGGAGAAATCTTCTCTGAGCAGAGACCATGCTGTGAAATGGAATGGAGTTTAGGGGAATTGCGCTTTATTTGCCGGATGTCTTTTGATGCACATTTCCTCCACTCTTGCTTTAAGGATGGGCGCCCTGGCTCCACGGCTAATCTTTTGGACTATGGCTGTACTATTTCACTTCTTTAATTAGCAGTCCACAGGTGACTTTTACATTTGAAGATTGATGCTATTTTGTGGAAGTCACATAAAAGCTTGTATTTATGGCACTCGTAAAATCATTGAATTTCATCTCGCCGCATAATGGCATTAGCAAGAAGCCTAATTATTTTCTAAAACCTACCCAGACACCTCAGCGCAGCTTCTGAGAAAATGGAAAAGGCTACTATATTGCTAAGAATCTAGTTGGTGAGAATTATACCTTTTTCTTAGTCAGAGCTAGTTAGGGTAAATTTCTGTCATTCATTCTCTACTCATACATGTTTGAAGGGGGGATAATGTCATACAAATACGGGCAGGGCATTTGTCTGATCAACCTAAAGTTTACTCTTGATATGCGAAAGTAAATACTGCACACTGTAAAGAAACCCGAGGTCCATGGAAGGGTGTATCCACTGGAATCTCAGGTCCTTCTCCTGCTCATGGCACTTCTAAGAGCGACCTCAGTCTTCAGGGATGGGGACAAAGTTGTGCTTCCTGCAATTGAGCCTGCCCGCCCTGCCTCCCTCCCTCCCCCCCTCCTTCCCTCCTTCCCTCCCTCCCTCCCTCCCTTCCTTCCTTCCTCCCTGCCTCTCTCTCTCTCTCTCTCTCTCTCTCTCTCCCTGCCGCCCTCTCTCTTTCTTTCTCTCTCTCTCTGTTCTTTTTTTCTTGTCTCACTCTGTCACCCAGGCTGGAGTGCAGTGGCACCATCTTGGCTCACTGTAACCTCCACCTCCTGGGGTCAAGTGATTCTCCTGAATAGCTGGAACTACAGGTGCCCGCCACCATGCCCAGCTAATTTTTGTATTTTTAGTAGAGACAGAGTTTTACTGTGTTGGCCAGGCTGGTCTCAAACTCCTGACTTCAGGTGACCCACCCACCTTGGCCTCCCAAAGTGCTGGGATTACAGGCATAAGCCACTGCACCCAGCCTAAGCCATTTCTTAAGATAATCTCCCTCCCTCAAAAACAGTCTGAGGTCATACCTTCTCATTTATTTCTGTCTCTTTCTTTCGTTTTAGGTGTACCAATTTCCCATTTAGAAAAAGTCTCAGTGATCGTACACAAGTATATATTGTGTGATTTACATCTATGAAATAATACTGGAATTTCTAACTGTGAAGGTGATTTTTGTGTTTATGGGAAATCAAAACCTGGGGTAGGGGTGAGGCAGACTTTATTCACATAAACCCTGAAAGTCAGATTCAGCTAAACAAAAACTGCAGTGTCCTCAGGAGCCGGTGGGGGCTTGGGTGGTCCTCTTCCTTTCCCAGTGGACAGCAGTGCATGTCTGCACGTCACCTGTTGACTATCTGCTTGGCCAAGGCACCTGCAGGGATCCAACAGTCAGGTGTGAAGCTGCCCTTATGGAGGCTGTCATGGAGTCAAAGAAATACACCTTCAATTAAAGGAGGACAGAGAAGAAAGATAGAAACCAGGATATATTAAAACAGTGCAGCAAACACTAACAGAATTCAGAGCAGGCAGAGAGTTGAAGAGGCCGAAGTAGTCCAGGAACAATTTCAAAGGTATAGGGTTATTGAAATGGGTGCCAAGGTGGTAGAAGTCAGGGGTGGGGATGGGAGGGAGAGAATGAGACGTTCCAAGCCCCTCAAGGGCACAGAGAGCCGGGAGTGACCAGGGAATAGCAACGCAGGGATGTGGAGGGTGGGCTCAGTGGAGGGGGCTGCTCGCCTGAGTGATCTTAGGAAATGTTGGGGAATAGGAATAGGGTCAGAAGACACAGGCTTGAATGTCAGGCAGAAGAACTTAGAAACAAAGCTGAGGAAAATGAACACACAGAGAGACAAACGGAACCAAGTGGCTAATAATATTCACCTTCTGAAGCCTCTCCAGTGGCGCTGGAGGTGCAATCTCAAAACAGAAATGTAAACTCAGAAAGAAAGAAGAACGTTGTGAAAATGAAGGCACGTGGTTTATCAGAAAAAGATTGCTGATTTTCTGGCTAAACTCACGTTGTTACCTACAGATAGAAATTCTCCGCAGTATTGCTGCTGAGGCAAGGGTTTAAGAGGAGTGTGGTTCCAAGGGCTGACGGAGTCTCGTCACCCTGCCCCTGCCTCGTGTGCTCAGCAGCACAGATTATTGGTTTTTTGTTCTGTTCATGTGGCTTCAAGAGCCTCCCTTGGTCACGGGTAAGATCATTACTCTGGTTGGAAAGCCTTTGCCCCAGTTCCAGCTAGGATCAATCTGAAAGGTAGACGACAATTTGCAGAAAATAATGACAGCAGCTGGAACTGCCGTAGTGTTAACTCTGGGCACCAGGAAGCCGAGGCCGGGCGTCCGTATGCCCGTGTCTCTATGGTGGTGTGACCGGGGCGAGTCCCGCGTTGGACGTTGGATGCCCTCCACGCCATCCTGCCCTGCATTACTGCTGCATTTAGGACGAGTCACACATTGGGATGTGGTCCTTCCACCACCAAGACCCTGCTCAATGTCAGAGACTGTATCATCCAGGTGATAGCAAAATGCAATCCACTAGCAGCCGTAAAACCTTTGAGTACGTGTTAGTGCATCTCAAACGCTGAGTGACCAGAGGTGTGGGGAAGGAGAGCTGGGAGCAGGTGATGGCCTTGGGAGGCCTCTACCCCAGATGCCGCCTGGGTCGGGGCCACTGTGCCTGGGGCGTGGCTGCAGCAGGGCAGAGAAGTCGAAAAGGGTGGTGGAGGGGGTTAGCTGTTGAGGAACGGAGGTGACAGGTGCAGCCAGGGATGGAGGAAGGACCGGCTGGGACAGGTTCACAGTGTTGGCTGACGGCTGATCTGGAAGGGAAGGTCTCAGTTGGTTAAGGAGGCTTTGCCAGATCTGCAGTGGGAAGGATGCTCTGGTCCTGACCACATCCACAGGGTCTCACCTAGAAGGATAATTATCTTCTCAAATTGCTCAGTGTCACTCAGTAGTGTCAGAGACCGCAGCCACCTCAACGCCATGGACTGCAGGGTGAGCTAAGCCCCCTCCAGCTGATTTTCTCTTCAGAACCTTGACAGACGTGTGTTTGGTGTTTCTTGCTGCCAGGCAGATGCAAAGGATGGTGTGAGGCTGAGGGATGAGTAGGCAGTGCCCACTCTCAGGGGCTCCTTGCCTAGTGAGACAGACAGAAGGCAGGAGGACAGGTGAGCCAGGGGGGTGCTCCCGAGGGAGGGTGTTCCGGAGGGGAGGCAGGGCTATGGGGGACCCAGAAAACACCAGGCCTCACCCCAGGGCATCAGGGAAGTCTCCCTTAGAGCCAGTCACAGGGCTGCTTTCGGGTGAGGCGGCCACGGCAAGGGTGGGCAGAAGCTGCACTGTCGCAGAGGCCTGCAGAGCTCAGAACTGTCTGTGGGGCACGGCCCTCAGGGAACTCGAGGTGCTGGCTTGCCAAGGCATGAGATGTTTCCCTGCACCCATCGCCAAAGCAGCAGAGAGGCAGGTATAGTCCAGGCTTCTGTGGACTGTTCCTGTGATACACTGTAACCTAGAAATCATGAAGCAATGCAATTCAATGTTCTTAGAGCAACCAAGAGCCTCCCAATCTTTCTCCCATGTTAGCAACAAGACAGCTGCATGGCAGGCAGGAAGGGGGAATTGTGTGGGCAAATGTATGCAGTTTGGTTGTATGCATTGCACATGACAAAATTCCTTTTCTTCCCCTTTCTTTTGAGACAGAGTCTCACTCTGGTGCCCAGGCTGGAGTGCAGGGACACGATCTCAGCTCTTGGCAACCTCTGCCTTCTGAGTTCAAGTGATTCTCATGCCTCAGCCTTTCGAGTCACTGGGTTTTTAGGCATGCACCACCATGCCCAGCTAATTCTTGTATTTTTAATAAAGACTGGGTTTCACCATGTTGATCAGGCTGGTCTTGAACTCCCGACCTCAGGTGATGTGCCTACCTTGGCCTCCCAAATTGCTGGGATTACAGGCATAGCCACTGCACCCAGCCTGACAAAATTTCTTTTTTCTTTTTATTTTTTTGAGACAGGGTCTTGCTCTGTTGCCCAAGTGATCCTCCTGCCTCAGCCTCCTCTGTAGCTGGGACCACAGGGATGTAATAAATTTATATACTGCTACACAGGAAAACTTGTTTTCATGATTACAAAGAAGAGATGGTCTAATACATTAAGAACATATATTGGTAAAGACCAATGCCATATGAAATTGGTTTGAAACACCTCTAAAAATTACATAGGCTGATTGATGTTTTAAAAGGTTGCATTAGAATTAGAGTTATTTAAGTGAAAAAGTGAAATTTAAGCACTAATATTATTTATAATAATTTTAATAATTATCAAGAAGAACAAAAAGGTAAAAACATCAAGCCCCCAAATAAGGAAACTAACAAAAAAAAACCTAAAAAAGAGAAATAAGCATTAATAAAGGCAGGGAAAAATGGTTTCAGTGACGTTAAAAAGTTAATAAATAAACATCACAAAATCAGAGGGAAACAAAAGGTCAAATTTGCTCAGTTCATCTGTGCGTTAGAGAAACACTTGCTCTTCTGCTTGTAGGATTACCTAAATAAAATGTATTCATATGTATCTGTGCATGCAATGTAGAAGAAAAAGAAACTTTTAAAAAATAAAGGTAAGAAACCAAAAGTGATGAAAAAAGTCAACACCTGTTGGAGGTCCATTTATTCTTTCCTCACTTGAAACCCCTGCACCCCAATGGACTGCAGCAGGCTGGGGCTTGTGGGTACTGGGTCCCAGGAGCTGAAGATGACAGAGCTATGGAGATTGCCTGTTGTTGCTATCATGTGGGATTTTGTCATCAGCTGGCGATTGTTATAATGCACATCATTTGCATATCGTTTTATTTTCTCCTGTGAATTTTATCTGCTTCACATTAGGAGCTCGTTCTTGGGTAGGTGTGGAGTCTCTGCCTAGAAGGTACACGGTTTGCACTCTCAGATCACCTCACATAGCGAGGCTTTGTCACAGAGTGACAGCTAGTACCCGCTGTTTGATCCTTGTTCACCCAGAGGTTTCCTTGATAAAATTTCGTTTTCACTTCTTCCTGTCACAGTCCCTTACGATCTCATGGCTGATGCAATTCTTAAATGCGTTGAGGGAAAAGTAGGAGAGATTTCCTTGTGTAATTCTCTATTTTCCTTGTTGCTTGCAGGCACACAGAATTAAATGTGACAAAGCTACTGGCATTATTGAGATGGTGATGGATCGATTTACTATTGACAATGAGGGGACCTACACTGTGCAGATTCATGACGGAAAAGCCAAAAATCAGTCTTCTCTAGTTCTTATTGGAGATGGTATGCTCTATCAAATATTTCCATATGTCCTAAAAGATAATTCAAAAGAAATTCTTTCTACTGGAGAGAAGCCAACATGTTTAATATATATATTTTTAAAATATTGAATTTAGCATTCAGGACTGTGCTGGAAGAGGCTGAATTTCAAAGGAAAGAATTTCTCAGGAAACAAGGTGAGTCACTGAATGGTTCTCCCGCACCCAACATAAAGCAAAGACTTATGATTGGAGTATTTGTCAGAAGCAGATTCTATATGACACCAAGTGACCCTGGAGGCTGTTTTTAGTGATTAAGAGGTTAGGCCAGGACAGTCATGGTGGCTCATGCTTGTAATCTCAGTACTTTGGGAGGCTGAGGTGGGAGGATCACCAGAGCCTGGGAGTTCAAAACCAGCCTGAGCAACACAGGGAGACACTGTCTCTAAAAAAAAAAAAAATTCTGAAGAAGCTGGGCATGTTGGTGCATGCCTGTAATACTAGCTTGAGCCTGAGGTGGAGGTTGAGGCTGCAGTGAGCTACGATCATGCCACTGCAGCCTGGGCAACAGGTGAGAAACCCTGTCTAAAAAAGAAAAAATTCTTAGCTCTAGAAATGTGTATGCTTTTCTGTTCCTTGTCCTTTACATGTGTTTTGCCTGCATTTAAAAGAAATTGCTTCTACCTTTAAAAGCCTCAGACTCATCTGTTTAATGTTAACGTTTCCTGTAATTGTCTTAAGTCAAAGAAACAATCAGTCTAACCAGGCTCTGTGGCTGACTTGCTGACTAACTCATCTCTTCTATATGCTGCTGGGAGGTGGCTCTTCCAAAAGACTTACTTCTTTTAGGCACCCCTTTGCATAAAACACTTCAGTAAAACTCCATGAAGTGTACCAGATAAACTCAGGCTTTCCATAGCCTGCAGCCACCACTTAACCAGATTTTATTTCCTATCATGAGGACAACTTCCTGGATAGGCCGGACTGATGTCTTCACCTTCCCGCTTTCCCAGCACCCAGGCCTGTCTGGTCTAGTCTCTCCTGAGGTCTTTCCAATCCGATGTCCAAAGTGGGTCTTCCCATCTCCCCATAGCCTTCCGTGCCACAGGGGCCTCTGATGTTCCTTTTGGGGGCTCCCTCTGAACCTTCGTGAGGGGCTGGTTGTTACCCTGCATTCAGGTGGACAGGCAGCTCTTCTGTTTGTTGCATTCCTAACACTTGCACGGCTGAGCACCTCGTAGGCGTGTGGGGCTTACCAAGGGCATGGGAAGGGAATGCGCTTTATAGCCGGGGAGTTGTGAGGAAAGCGTGCCTCTAGCTTTAATGTCCAGATGGAGTCCAGCAATTTTAATGAAAAAGAATAAAGAACTGGGGTGGAGGAGTCGGGGGCATCACTGGGCTTTGAAATGTAGAGAAGGCAGTAGAGGCCGTTCCTATCACCAGGAACTTGGTCATTCCACTTAAGATTGTGTGTGAGATTTTAAACTTTCTAACTACAAAGAATATATTTTAAATTGATTGCCTTTACAAATACATATTAACTAGATACAAAGGAAAATGGATGGATTTTGGATTCTCAAACATAACCCAAGCGCTTATTCAAAGAATATTTTTATATATAGGATTTCTATGCTTCTTGAGAAAAATTAGAATATAAAGTATGAAACATAAAATCAAAACATTCTGTTTTATTATTTTTCATTGTTTTTATTTCTAACAGTTAAAAATATTTCACTTGTTTCCAATTATGAACTTTTTTGGTCAACTTTGTAGGATGTATTTGTGTATATGAAAGAAATCAACATACCTTCCAAATCTGCTTTCTGTTTTTGCATTGAATGGCAAAAGGGTATTAGTGTATGACTTATTCCTACATGTACTTTAAATAAAAATGATTAATATGTTTAAAAAACCTTTATAAACCCATCTTTGGTTTTGAATGCTATTAAGTGTATTTTACAAAATTGCTAGGTCGAAATGTTGTCTCTTCATCTCATGTCTGTTCCTCTTATTACAAGGTATTATATAGCATGTTGCTGAATGTTCAGTTAGACATATACTTTCGGAAACAAAATATAATGATTTCAATAGTCTCCTTTCTAAAGTGCAATAGAGGTGAGATGTCCGTAAGAAGGAGCGATGAGACGGTATGTTCCCACCAGGAAGCACAGATTCCAGTGGAGAGTCAGTGTTAACAGGTGTCCACATCCCAGGCCTGAAAATTATCTGTTTCATTCTGCACAGCTGTTGCCTTCCACCAAAAATGCATTACATAAGTATATGTAACACATGCTTGTGTATTATATATGCACCCCATGCATATATGTGTGTGTGTATGTAACAGCTGTATATTTATTTGTTTATTTTACTTTTTTCTCTTTTAAAAGTTGTTTTCCCTTTTTTTCTCCTTAGGCCCTCATTTTGCTGAGCACTTGCACTGGGACGTCACAGAAGAATGTGAAGTTCGACTTGTTTGCAAGGTGAGAAGCCCTGTTCTAACAGGACGCAATAAATCTCGGTCTGCTTCCTATCAGAGAGGCCTTTCAGGGAGCAGCTGTGGCCACATCCATAAGGCTGGTGACGAAGCATGTGGTGTCTGCATACATGTGGATGAGCGGAGTGGCTTTTGGGTCCTGTGCATTTTTTAGTACTTAAACTTTAGTGCTTGTCTTTTCTTCTTCATGAAAAGATTACAGTGTCGTGGCATGCAATGAAGGGTTGGATTATAGAAATTACACTTAAACTGTTATTAAGTGAGTTTATGAGAAAGCACACTGTGGTGAAATCTACCTGGAAGTGCTGCTCATATGATTTCATCAGGAAAGAAAGGTATGCTTTGGGAAAAAATGCTTTTTTTTCAGTTTCATTTAACAATTTAGTAAAACATTTTATTATTACTAAATATAAAAATCTCTTTTTTCTTTTTTTTTGAGATGGAGTCTTGCTCTGTCACCCAGGCTGGAGCGCGATGGTATGATCTTGGCCCACTGCAACCTCCTCCTCCTGAGTTCCAGTGATTCTCCTGCCTCAGCCTCATGAGTAGCTGGGATTACAGGCCCCTAACACCATGCCCAGCTAGTTTTTGTATTTTTAGTAGAGAGAGGGTTTCACCATGTTGGTCAAGCTGGTCTCGAACTCCTGACTTTGTGATCCACCTGCCTCGGCCTCCTAAAGTGCTGGGATTACAACAGGCATGAGCCACTGTGCCAGGCCTAAAAATCTGTTTTTTAAGCAAGAAACCTTCAATTTAATAACCGTCTGGTATTTGACTGTCTCAGTAGGAGAGGATGAAGGAAAAGATCAATAATGCATTATTTTTATCCCCAAACTGGTTCTTTATTGTCCACTGGATAAGAGAGAAAAGTAAACAGGTAATTCCAATAAAGAGATGATTCCTGAGGTGCCAGTGCCAAGGAAACTAAGAATTAAGCAGGCCGGTGAGTGGGAAGAGATGGCTCCAGGAAGATCCCGCAGCAGGGAGGGACAGAGAAGCTGAACTGTGCACTTAGAAATAAAAACAATAGGCCGGGCTCAGTGGCTCATGCCTGTAATCCCAGCACTTTGGGAGGCCAGGGTGCATCATGAGGTCAGCAGACCGAGAGCAGCCTGGCCAACATGGTGAAACCCCGTCTCTACTAAAATGCAAAAAATTTAGCTGGGTGTGGTGGCGGGTGCCTGCAGTCCCAGCTACTTGGGAGGCTGAGGCAGGGGAAATGTTTGAACCAGGAGGCAGAGGTTGCAGTGAACCGAGATCAGGCCACTGCACTCTGGCCTGGCGACAGAGCAAGACTCTGTCTCAAAACAAACAAAAATAAAACCCCAAGGCAGGTGGGCAGGTGGGGGGTTCTCTCACAGGGCTCAGAGGCAAACTGTGGTCTTTGAGGGCACAGAGGCCCTGAGGGCTGTTAGTGCAGTGAGGAGGGCTGCTTGTTGACAAGGAAGGCGGGAGCTTGCAGCGCTGCAGGACGATGCTTCAGCAGGCTGCTGAGAGGTGGTCACTCCAGTGGGGCAGTTTCATTTGCACAGAGAGAAGATTTAGGAGACACATTCAGCAGTTAAAACTAGCAGAGGTCGGCAAGCAGCTGAGTGTGGGTGAGAGGGCAGTGTACTGGGGGACTGGGTGGGTGGGTGATATTACCTGAGATCAGCACTGTACTGGGAGGGCCAAGTGTTAGGGTTTTGGGAATAAATTTAGTTTCACAAAGATTTAGTTATATCCGCGGAACGGGCGATAAGGCGTGACCAGCTCACAATGGGCTACGTGAGCCCAGCAGCAGTGGGAAAGTCAGCAGGACCAAGTGGGTTCCTGTGACACGGGAATGCGTGACTGCGGACATGTTGCAAGTGGGTCGTGCTGCCGAAGGACAGTCTTCAGAGACAGGACCGTGACGGGTGACGGGGGCGTTCTGGAAAATTCAGATTGTCAGAGGACAAGAGGAGAGCAGCTCTGGGATGATTAAGTAGAAACCATCAGAGAGTTCAGAGGGAAAGCAGGTGACTCACTGGCCACTGGGAGGGAGGGCCTTCCGGAGTGAAGCCCCGGAGGGTGTGGTGAGGAGGGGCGGCTGGAGGCAGCACGGGCCACGGTCTGGGTGGTGGGCTTTCCAACGCCGCTCTGTCGCAAGGCAGGGTCTCTACGTGATGGGCTGAGGAGTTGGGAGACAAGGAGCATGTGAGCAGGAGCCTGCCCCACTCCGAGGCGCTCAGCTGGCAAAGAGGAGGGCAGAGGGCTTCGGGGCCGGCTTCTCTCTCCTCCTTTCTGGATGGGGACATTCAATCCTATTTACCGGTGAAGGGGTCAATGGAAGAGGAGTCACAGGAGAAGGAAGGGGAAGGCATGGGGACGTGGGAGGGGCAGTGCCGGGCTGGAGGGAGATGAGCCCAGGAGGTCAGCACCGCAGTGCAAGGGGCTGCTGGGCCCCCAGGGCGGCTCCCCATGAAGGACCACGGGGATGTTGAAAACCAGGACAGAGCAAGCGGCAGATCCGGCAGTGCAGCCTGTTGGTTTCACTTTTGCAGTGAAGGGTTGGAGGTGTTGAAGATGAGGAAGGTGGCCCACGGGGAGGAGGGTGGCAGGAGTGGGCTGTGATTGCCACTGAAGGAGGCACGACAGGAGCTCCTTACTGAGTAAGAATGGAAATCATTGTTGAGGGCACCAACGTGGAGACAGCTTGTAGTGGCCCAAACAGGTGCACTGGGGTTGATTTTTCCAGATGTGCCCAGCAACCCTGGTGTAAGTCGGGGGACGGACTCGTGATTGGGGTCTTGCTGGTTGGATGTTGCAAGAAGGGACAATGGAATGGGAGCTCTGGGTCTTGCTTAACTGTAGCTTTGTTGGTCAACCAGCTGTCTAAGTTGAGCAGGAAAGTGAGGCCAGACGGGATAAATGGAGAGGAGGAAGGGCTAAGCGTTGGTGATCACCACTGGACCACCTCGGTGGGGACACTGGGGTGCGGACTTGTTAATGTGGGTTAGTGTCAGGTGGTGACCTGCCGTGAGGAGGAAGTGCGTGCTGGCAGCATGGAGGTCTGCAGCGCGCTTGGGAGTGGACCCGGGGATTTGCAGGAGGGCGGGGCATAGGGGTTTGGAACTAGGTGGGTGTTGAACCAGGTTGCTCCTAGAAATTCATGTGATGCGAATGTTCATTGCAGCACAGTTTACAATAGCAAAGACCTGGAACCAACCCAAATGCCCATCGATGATAGACTGGACAGGGAAAATGTGGCACATATACACCATGGAATATTACGCAGCTATCAAAAATGATGAGTTTGTGTCCTTTGTAGGGACATGGATGAAATTGGAAACCATCATTCTCAGCAGACTGACACAGGAGCAGAAAATCAAGCACTGCATTTTCTCACTCATAGGCGGTTGTTGAACAATGAGAACACGTGGACACAGAGAGGGGAGCACTACACACTGGGGTCTATTGGGGGGAAATAGGGGAGGGACAGCGGGGGGTGCGGAGTTGGGGGGGATAGCATGGGGAGAAATGCCAGATATAGGTGAAGGGGAGGAAGGCAGCAAATCACACTGCCATGTGTGTACCTATGCAACAATCTTGCATGTTCTTCACATGTATTCTAAAACCTAAAATGCAATTAAAAAAAAAAA